AATTGATATTCTGCCCATAGACTCATTCATGAAATGATGGGGCTGAAAGGCACCACAGGAAGCAGGGTTTTACTGGAGACAAAGTCATTCACTTGATGCACATACTGTTAAAGGAAGCAGCCTGGGTATTGCAATTTATTCTTGTTGTGCTTGATGGGAAAAGAAATCTTAAATCCCAGCTGGAGAATTCACAGGACCACTTTGCTCTTTAGATTTGCTTTACAGTTGTGCAGAGTCCCACTCGGGAGACATTAGCATCAGTAATAAGTATAGCACTTCGCACTTATTGTGATGTTTCATCTGCACCTCTCAGAGAGGCTGGCAAGGTGAGTGCAGAATTACAACTCCCCTGGCACAGAAACTGAACAGGTACCTGGAAAAGCTTGGTCATATGGCCAAGGTGACACAATAAAGTGAAATGATGGGCAAGTGACTTCAGGTCCCTCTGGGTCCCTCTTCTCCAGTGTGGGAAAAAGGGGTTATTTAGACCCATATTTTTCAAAGTGATTCATTACCAGTAGACTTTGTATACTGGAGAAATTAGATTCTTAGTGAACATATTATAAAAGTCAATCAAATGTATTTTTGGGTTTTTTTAATCTGAAAACCCACTACAAAGCTCTTTCACTATGAATACTGCTGGATAGTCATGCTATTCCAAATCAGGTACTTAACCTAAGAATGTAAGGTAAATGTCTTTTTTAAGCCTGTCCCTAGAACTGAGGGACACATCAGCATGGCATTCAGAAAACCTGTGGTAGGAATCTGCCTCTGTAGCCTAATTCAAACAGCTAAACCAGAGAGGGTAAGTCAGGCAATGTGAACAACCTCTGATATATCCATTTTTATAATTAATGCCCAGATCTGGAAAGTCATGTAGTAACATGTCCCATTAAAATCTGTGAAAAGTTTGTTTTGTCTGTGTTTCTGGAACTGGGCACCCTTTGCCCAAGCATGATTGCCTCTGAGTCTTAAAATGTCACAGCATTAAAGTGAGATTCAGCAAGAAGTGTGACAGCATTATATAATCCATGGAAATAAACCTGAATATTAAAATTACTTCCACTGCCAAGATGACAAGCATTTCATAAATGCAAGATGCAACGGTGGAAATTATATTTCTGAACCAGGAAGCAAATACTGTTCTCCAAGTGTGCAAAGGAAAAATCATCTCAGGACTGCACAGAAGGGTGTTTGCTTGTTCCAGCTCTCTGTTTCAGTGGTTGGCTGCCTTTTGGCAACCTGCCATCCAATAATTCATTGCATGCCCATGGGGCATTTCATCGGAGGAGGGACATATGTTAGTGCAGGAGCAGAGCTGGTATCGGTGCTTGATGCCAGTGACATGGAACAGAGGCTCTCAAGGGGTCTTGCACATCTGTCTAGTCAGTCACAGACTGTAGACTCTGCTCCTATTTTTCTCTGTCTGTTAGCCCTCAGAGCTAGAATTAACATAACGTGAAGCATTTTTCAGATTTATTTTTAAGGAAGCTGCTGTATAGCTTTTGTTGCTGCTCTAACTGCTGCAGGAATGCAGTGATGTGAAATTGGAGTTGAGGTAGTACAGGAGGAAAAAAGTCTAGGTTCAGTGGTGAGCCACACTGTGGCAAGATATAAGAAGTGCAAAGGCTTCAGAAGAAACTGGAGAGAGAATATCAAACCTATTTGTCTTTATGATTTGCACTCTGTTGAAACCATGAGATACTTGCCTGCCTTTAAAAAGTTGTTTCATTTCCCTTTAAAAAAATTGCCATCTATGCTACCTAGAGAATATGTAACTCTCCCATTAGGGAGATTTCATCAGTTCCAGTGGGTTATGGATACAATGATAAATCTAAAAAAAGGAGATTCCAATGTAAGCAAAGCCCCATGATTTGTATCAGCCTTTGCATATTTTTTGCCTTTGTCTCAACTCCCAAAATTACAGGGAGGAAATGGCCACTGAGATGGCATTGTCTGTATGCCATGGTCCTAAACACAACTCTGGTCTGGACTTGAGCCCACCATTTGGAAAAAACATCTCTTCCTGATTAAAGCATTCCTGTGGTGGATTTACCACCAGCATTCTTGGTACATGGTTCCAGTAATTAATTACCCGGACTGCAAAAAATGCCTGCCTTGTTTCTAGACTGGAGCCAGGGTGTGGGCACAGGGTCTGGCTTCTCTGAGAACTGAGTCAGATAAGAAAGCCATCTGGGCTGTATTTGGTCTACTTCCTCTCATATTCAGCCTCAGTTTGTGCACAACTCTTCTGCAGCATCTTCTATTTGCTGGTTTTGTTAACTGGCCTGAATGAATCTCGCAGCACTGCTCACCTGATTGTCCCCTGGCAATCAAGGGGGTGTGAGGTGCCAGGTAAAGTGATTGTGCTTCTGAGAGCACATGGCATTGGGGAACTCAGCCCTAATGTTCCCTCTGTCCTGACCTTTATCCCCTAGACCATCATTCCTCTAATACTTCATACCATCCTAATCCTTTTGATTGCCCTTAACGTTTTCCATCGGTGCAGTGTAATGAGCTCCTGTGGGGTGGTGCCAGCAAAGTGATCCATGGGGTCTCTCCAGCCCATGGACCACTGCACCTGCATCTCTCACTTTACTGAAGTTTGACTTTCTGCAGCAGTAAGGTCAGGGAAGCACGAGGTACACTCTAAGATGTCTCTGGGATGTGACCCCTAAACTTAAATTCATTAAGTTCATGTTCTCAAGAGCCAGATATAAAAAAGAACAGAAAGCAAATGAGAGCTGTGGTCTGATGATCTGTTAGTGATAATTCATACCTCTGTATACCTTTGTTTTGCATTTTGCACTTTTAACTCACATGATGAAGTTTTCAGACAGAAGTGGATATCATGTGTAAGCTGAGTTCCTTGTTTTTTTCTTTTGCCTGTCACTGGCTGCATGTTCTCTGTTGATGTCTTGTTCCTGGTACTTGACACTGACCATCTTGTCTGTGAAAGGAAGCCCTCCAGCTGGTTTGCCTGATGAGAAGAAAGGAAAGTTTGCTTGGTTTAGTCACTCCACAGAAAGCCATGGTAATGTTCCACTGTGCTCTGTGTCCCCCCTGCATGAGTCTGTGTGTCTGTGTATCTCTGTGCAGACTGGCCTATAAATCAGATTTGTATTCTCCTGCATGTGTGTGCCTGGCTTTGTCAGTTGCTTGTCCTCTTCGTGCACTCAGGATAACAAGCTGCTCTGCAAACTGATCTCATGCTAATGTCTTCAAATTGTTTTCCATTTGCAAATGAGCTTGAATATGTCTTGAAAGTGTTTTACCTCATCTTCCAAACTGACTTGTGAAATATCAGCGTTTTGGTTTTTTTCCTGCAGGGCTTGCTCTGGACAGAAAAAAATTAATTATGAATGTTGGTTTTTTCTCATAGCTTACTTGACTGTTCCATGTATATCAGAACATGAATTCAGTTTATTCCTTAATTTGTCTTTCCAAATGGACAAGATTATTAAAATATCTGTCTTCATAAAGGAGCAGGCACCATTAGAGTACAATATTTCATAGCTTTGTCAAGAGTGCTAGAGAGTCCATTATTTCATGTGGTCCTAAGAACACAGTACAAGAACTTTAGATTTCCCAAGGAGTGTGTTGGATGTCTGTGAATTGTTGCAATGAGATGAAGGAAATATAGTTCATTTTGAGGGACATTTCTACCACAATGCTTTCAAAGCAGTAACCCACCACATTTTTGAAAGGACCTTCTGATGTCTTTTTAGCCCCTGAGAGAGGACCATGGCCCATGAGCATCTGCCCAATGGAAATGCAGAACCTATTTCTTCTACATTGGCTCATTTTGCACCAATCACCCACAAATAGACATATTCTTACTATTGAGTTGCATATTCTTGCAGACTATTAGAAATCTCTCCAACAGCTAACAGCACATGCTCTCAAGTCTCATCTGAGATATTTATCCAACAAATAATACAAGACATGTTCTGAAGTTCTACCAAGCTCCTGGGAGACCTGTTTAAGTCCTCCATCATTCAGTCTTAAGTATAATTTTTTCATTCGTTTTGTGTATTCCAAAAGGGGTGAGGAGAGAACAGGACACATATTGGATCCTATCCATTTTCCTATCTTTAATTGAATGATTGTGTATTAAGAGTGATTGGAGCTTATGCAGGAGCTGTTAGCAGCTGGGGAAATGAAAATGGTGTGGGTTTGAGGGATTTTTATGGGCTGTAGAAGCAAACAAAATCTTCAGGTTTAATAACAACTAGAAACAGGTTCTTGAATCCAGATGAGAGAGGTTCACACCTAAGGCTGCTTTCGTTTGATCTTTGTTCCATGGTACTTCTGTAAAGGCCTAGAAGGTTCTGGGCAGTTCTTGGCTGTGAGAGTCAATATACAGCTGCACCATAGTCCACATTGATTAGCTCCTTTGTTGGTAATATCTGAGTGGGTCAGAGAGTCTGAATTTCTCTCCTATATCTCTGGGTCCAGTTTCTAGGTGTAAGGTTGAATCACATTCATGGCTAGTAAATGACAGATGAGCCATTAGTATGCTTTGTGTGCTATTTGCTGTCAGGCTAGCAGGAGCTGTTTATCTGCATGCATCTCAATCCTGGTACCTTTTATTTGTATTCTAATCATTGCACAAAAGATTGGGGAGGGCAGTGAGGTAAAGAGGCATTTTTTTAAAATATGTTCAATGGAATCAAAAAGTTTCTTGTTGGGTTTATCAGGACTTTCATTTTCCAGCAGTTGTCATTCATAAAATTTCCAGGCAGTGACTCTGAAGGAAGGAGAGCAGCTGCTTCTTCCCTTTTCTTTAGAATTTGAGTAACTTGTGTGCTCCTGAAGTCTACCTGCCCCACCTGCTCTGCACAGGGAGGCACTAAACCTCCTCAGCAAATTGTTTGACCCTCAGGAGCTGCAGCTGGGGGTCTTCTCATTGAGCTAGTCCCTTCAGCCACGCACTCACTAAGAGATGTGCCGGGCTCTGATGGCCATGCCTGTCTTTTTCTTGCCTCTGACCCTTGCAGTGAGCATGCCCACCAGCGAGACCGAGTCCGTGAACACCGACAACGTGCCCGGAGCCGACATGGAAGGCGAGAACTGCGGCGCCAGGCTGGCGTGAGTACCCCAGAAAACGTCATTGATTCATGTCTTGGGTGATTTAATTGTTAGACAATGGCTTGGGGTGTTTTGGGGGCAAAGGCAGGGCAGTGTCAGGCTTTTCCAGATGAACAAAACGCACAGAGGGTGAAAGGAGAGGCCGAAGATCTGTTGATGCAGGTTCTTATCTTAACTGCGATGTAAGCTCGCTCTGGATGCCAGGGAAGAGCCTCTCGTTTTACAGGTGTAAATAAGGGACAGAGTGCCCAGGATAAGCAGGTCTGGTTTTGCATAATATCTAAAAGAGAAACTGGTGGATAACAGTGTTCTTATTTTAAAATTCCTCGTTGATGATACACTTCCAAACCAGACTGAAGAGTGGAAATGACTGGTCTATTTTCATTTTTCTAAAGATTCTTGTACACTTTACAGTGTCTTGTAATAGAAATATATTGAGGGTAACTCCCATCCTGCAGACGGAATTATACCCTTCAAATGCTGAATAGAGTACTGTAGTGACAAAGAAATACAACAATTAGGAGGGATTAATGCCTCCTTGAAATTATACCATTGTAATTAGTGGAAATGCTCAAGAATGCATGAGATAGCAGTTATGAAATGCCATAATATGTGGTGTATTTCTTAACCTCACAGAGAGCAAGTATAGGCAAGAGGAGTCCTTTATTCCCTTTGCATTACTTAAACAAGAATGGACTTTATGCTGTGGGGCAATACATTATTCCCTCCAAATTTCCTTGAAACATATCAGTGCTATAGCTTGTACCACACTGGAGTATTTTGAGGCTCTGTCCTATCCTGGGAGCCACCTTGAGCCCTCGGGTGTTGCTTGAATGGACCAGATGGAATCCATCCTAGGGTGATGAGGGAGCTGGCAGAAGAGCTGTCCAAGCCACTCTCCATCATTTACCTTCAGTCCTGGCACACCAGGGAGGTCCCAGATGACTGGAAGCTGGACAATGTGACACCTATCCCTAAAAAGCCGAAAGAAGGATCCAGGGAGCTACAGGCTGGGGACAGAGTGGCTGGACAGTGGCCAGGCAGAAAGGGACCTGGGGCTGTGACTGGCAGCAGCTGAACATGAGCCAGCAGTGTGCCCAGGTGGCCAAGAAGGCTCCTGGCCTGGAGCAGGAATGGTGTGACCAGCAGAGCAGGGCAGTGATTGTCCCCCTGTACTTGGCACCTCGAGTCCTGTGTCCAGTCCTGGGCCCCTCAGTTCAGGAGAGATGTTGAGGTGCTGGAGCAAGTCCAGAGAAAGGGCAGCAAGGCTGGTGAGGGGTCTGGAGCACAAATCCTACAAGGAGCAGCTGAGGGAGCTGGGAGTGTTCAGCCTGGAGAGGAGGAGGCTCAGGGGAGAGCTCATCACTCTGAAAAGGAAGGGGCAGCCAGGTGGGGTCAGGCTCTTCTCCCAGGTAACAGCAACAGGACAGGATGGCACAGCCTTGAACTGTGCCAGGGGAGGCTGAGTTTGGACATTAGGAAGAAGTTCTTCACAGAAAGGTGACTGGACATTGGAATGGGCTGCCCAGGGAGCTGGGAGTCACCATCCCTGGAGCTGATTGAACAGGCTGGATGTGACACTCAGTGCCCTGCTCTGGCTGGCAAGGTGATGGTTGGTCAGAGATTGGACTTGATCTCAAAGGTCTTTTCCATCCTAGTCAATTCTGTGTGATTCTGTGCTCTGCATTAAAAGATGTGGTATGTGGAATGTATTGTAATTTCAATCCCTGCTTTCCTTTAAGAGTCAGTCAGTGACTTACAAGGCCCAGGAGAAATTATTTGTGATTGTTTTCCTTCACCTGCCTGCTGTTGAGAACCTGCTGAGTCTTTTACTTTAAATTATGAATCTTTTCCTGCAGGAACCAGGCTAGATGTATTCACAGCACTGGGGCACCTGTAGCCCTTTCTTTGGCCCCTCACCAAGTTGCCTGTGCTCTTGGCACAGAACAGGAAGCATCAGCTGGATCCCCTTTGGAGAACCATCTTTGTTCTGCAGCTATGGCTCACAGAAGAACAGAATGGTTCAGGTTCTAAGGGACCACCCTGGCTCACCTGGTCCAGAGTGGCAGCCAAAGCTGACCCCAACCTTCACAGCTCCAACAAAGCCTTCCCTGTTTGTTAGTGTGAGGTTGAGGAGCACACACCATTCCTTGTGGGAACCTCCACTGCCTGTGTCAGAAAGTTGCCATCATTGCTTTCCAGGAACCTCCTGGACTGGTTGTGCTTTGCTGTGTTGCTTCTCCAGAATGTGTCAGAGCATTAAATTCCCTCATAGGTGTGGACACAGTGCCAAAAAGAATGGCAGCAGTTACTCTAAGGTTTCATGTATTTTTAATATTACAGCTTGCATTCATTTAATGTTCTTAACCCCAAAGGATCTTAGAGCACTTTATGAACTGTAAATGCAGGGATTGTTTTCACAGCATTAGAGTTCAAGGTAAAATGTGACAGGTGTTTAAAAACAGCAGGCACAAATGTTTAAGGGATGTTGTATGAGGGATAACTTGTTTTGCACTGAAACTGCATTGGGAATTTTGGCAACCAGGACATAATTATCTTTGCTGGAATGGGGCCAGGAGGGCTGAAGTTAAACCCAACTCTAAATGTAATCATGAGTTAGAATCGAGTTTACTTAAAATAGCCCAGCATGCTCACAGGAGAATGTCAGTCCCCTGATTTGGCATTAGGAGAAGGGATGGCTAAGTCCAATATATTTTAGGGAAAAAGACATAGGAAAATTACAGGAAAACAGAGCTTCATCTCTTCTTCTCACGTTGTAAATGTTAAAACAAGGCCCAAAGTTTCAGCAGAGCAGGGCATGTAGGACTCAGAGAGATAAACAGTTTCCTTGCCACTTCTCACTTCATCTGGAAATGGGTGATGTATAGTGGGCAAATTGAAGTCTGTTATTGAGAAGGGTTTGTTTAGTCCTTACCCAAGGACAGCTGAGATCCTCAAGGCCTCCCTCAGACTGCTTTTCATCTCTAAGAGATGGATAGGCTCCTTCTTCAGTGAAAATGAATGGCTATATCATTGAATATGAAATTCTGGAGTGAGATACAGATTTTGCCAATGCTGCCTACTTTTTAAACTTGTGGATCTGCAATTTCCTTAGTTATGGGCCAATTCAGACCTGCCTGTGATTCTGAGTTTCCTTTCCTTATTTCTGGTTTCCTTTGCTACTATATCACACACTTAGGCAGACAGAGAAAAAAACAGCCACCATTGTTTCAAGAAGTATTATATACTTTTCTTTATACTGAGTCCTCATTCAAACCCCCCCATAGGTCAATATTCCTTCTGGAACATATAAAATGTAAGCAAAGATTTATTTGAATGAGTGTGTTCTTTCATTGGAACCTGGCTAAGAATCAGAATTTGGCTTTCACTGGTCCAAGAAAAGTGAAAATTCATGTGGAAAGTCAGTTGAGCTTTTAAAAAATGTTCCTCATCAAGTACTAGATTTTGAGTACTAGCATTAATAATTATAGTCATGTCACCCTGATCTGCTCCAGTTGAAGATTAGGCCTGGACTTTTGAGCAGTCACCTACTCTCTGTTTCTGCAGCTGGAATGGTTAGCCAAGATTTTGTCTGATTGTTGAGTTTCATCTATTGCAGATGAGTCTCAATATTTTTTACCAGCACTCCAAACTCACCCTCTGGCCATGAGTCCCCATTGCTTTGCTATGAACACACTCTTTCCCAGAGGGCAGAGGCTGCTCTGAGCAGGCTGCAACCAGACATGACTGAAGCAACATGGGGCTTTCAAGTCAAAGGCAATATATTTATTTCTTTATTGACATCAGGCTGCCCAAGGCATTTAACACCCCAGCACCACCACTACAGTTACAGGCTGAGCTTGCCATCACAATGCATTCAAGATAAAAGGAAAAGGATGCCCAGGAGATTGAGAGAAAAACCTTTTTCATTGAAATTGAGAATTGCTCACTATTCTTTCTGTTCTTTTAAAAATCTGTAGAGTTTTGAAAGGCTGGGTCTGTGACTGACAGAGAGATCTGCTTGAGAAGCCAGGCTGAAATGTGCCTTTTGGAAAAGGAGATCTTCCCTGACAGCCTTTCTCAGCTCCACAGAGACATATGCTATGTGAGATCAGGAGAGCACCTCTCAAACACAAACTATTGCCTACTGATAAATTGTCTCAAAGAAGCTTTTATTTCTCCAGTATCCATACTATAGAAACTGCATCTGACAACTATCCTGTCTGGAGTAATGCCAGCCTTCAAACCAGCAGGAGTTTCAGGAGGAATCTAACATCTGATCTCTCTTTACTTGTTGTGTAAATCCAATTTTTTAGAACTAGCAAAATAAAACAAAAACAAACAAACAAAAAAAAAACCTCCCAACAATTTAATTCATAATAATTTCTGGTATAATTCTGCTGGCAGCAGGAGTGCTGTGGCACAGCACAGTTCACTTCCTAAGGGCATTCACTTTATCAGACATCTGAATTTGAAAATGGTTTTGCAGGCTTCCACAGGACATTGAAAAGCATCCTAAAACTTCTACAGTATATTATTCCTGTCATGGTATTGCCTTGTACTGGGCTGACATCTGCCCTGCAGTAGGAGCACAACAGCTTTTATCCTCAAGGACAGCATTTGGAAGTGGAACTTATCTTATTTTGATGTGTCACAACTTTCATACCCTGTTGCCTCAGGGTACAAAGAAACACGTTTCCTCTGCAGCAGGCAGCAGTGGCACAAACCCAGAGCCAGGAGCAGTGGGGTTCTGTTTACAGAATATTCTTACACCCAGGGTTTCCCAATAGCCAGTAATTTCCCTGAGCCTCTGGGGTACTGCTGTGCAGGGCTCAGATTCCTGAGGACAGGCTATTGCTCATAATCAGGAGTAATCTGTTCTGTGCAGGGTGTCAGCATATATAATCTTCCAATACAAGCAGAATGTTCATTTTCTAATACAACCATACAGATCTGGAGTGCCACAATAGAGCTTGCTTTTATACATATGCATTAGCTAAAAAAAAAGACCTTTGTGGAAACTAATGCTCCATAGAGCCTCAATAGAAAAGTGAAGCACTTGAGCTCAAAGGGAAAGAGAGCTTAAAATTATCTGCTTTCATTGAAACAATAACCCCACTTGGCATTTTCGCCTTGGCCAGCATTTCCATACATATGGGGGACAGTTCAATTGCTTTTCCACCAAAGACAGTTCAAACAATAAAAGAGGATAAACCAAAATGAACAACCTACACTGGCTTTCCAACTGAAAACAGTGTTGTCCTGAAAATTTTATGAGCAAATGGAAGTTTTGCATGGTCAGTGCTTTTTCCCTTGGTGCTTTTCTGGCATGGAAATTAATTCCTGTGCTGTTCTTGCAATAGTCAGCATGGGAGCCAGTGGTAAAGGTAAAAGTTTTCTTGCAGGTTTGCTGTAGTTGTAGTTCTCACCTTATGAGAAGATGGGCTCCTTGTGATGTGATGGAACCAAAGTCCCCATCACCTCAGGAACAGTGGGAAGAAAAGTGTGCCAAAGGCTCTGAAACCACTGCTGACTTTAGCAGGAAAACTCACAGGATGAACCCTTATGTGTCAGTCTCAGATGCTGCTCCCCAGCTCATTATGAGCAAGGTCCCTTCAATATTCACAGTCAGCCCTAGGTGTGTGTCTAAAGGACAATAACACGCCTTTATGGAAGAGGAATTGTTTTTCCTGCTTCAGATTCTATGACAGCCCTTTCCTGTGACTTGCCCCAAGGAGAGCAAGCTTTTTTACTGAATGCTTAAATGCTGGCCTGTTTTCCCAGCCTGTAAGAAAGCCTGTTTAATAGCAATTTTATGTTAGACAGATCCAATTTGCTTAAGGCTATTCTGTAGATTCTTACTGTGCCACCTTACCAGTAACTGCACAAATGCTCCAAAACAGAATCCACATCACACCAGGACTGGCTTCTCACTGTACTAAAATATATAAGATATGGCCAGTGAAGCTCTCTGGATGTTCTCCAAAGTTGCATAAAACCTAGAAGCATAGTAAAGTCCATTTCTGTGTTGCTGTTTTTTCTGACAGCTTTTACTGGTGCCCAAAGGCTTTTGTGAGTCCTTGTGAAGATATGGTTGCCTCTAAGTTGGGATCATACAATGTAAAAGTAGTTGTGAGCAGAGTTAGATAATGGTCATGTTTGATAATGCCCACACCCAGAAAACAACTGTAATGTGGCCTTTGTGTCATGCTTGGTGACCTACAAGATTTTTCCAGAATTGCCTGTTGTGTGTACAATTCCACAGAGCCCTCAACCCCTGTTACACAAACCTGTCACATCCCTCACAAACACCTCTGGTGTTCACCATGAAAAGGGAAATGAAGACTTTATCTCTCAGAATGTAGGATATGTCACTACATTTGAGTTATGCTGATTATCCAGAGTTTATGTTGATCAAAACCTTTAAATTTCACTGTTTTGTCTGTGTGTTGTACATAAGTATGCAAGGTTGGGGGAGTTTTAGAGAATTTCAAAGATAGTTAGTCAAACAGTAGAGATCTGATTTTTGTGTTTGTCTTTCTGAGAGATGAGTTACATGGTTCCTGTGATAAAAGCACTCAGTAGTGATCTGATGGTTTTCATTAGGCTCCTATACCATAATTTTAAAGAAGAGTTTCTCAAGACATTCCAGAGTTGGACACAATTGGAGTCACCCTCTTTCTCCCAGTGACATAAACCTCCCAGGACACTGGAGATGCAAGAGATCCGTGTTTAAACTCAGCAGAGAATCTGGTCCACTCTGAGCCCACTGAGTGCCAGCTTGGAGTGTCACAGACACTGTGGCAAGGCTCTGTTTCCAGACTATTTGACAGCCCCTAGTGATGCCACAAAAGCATTTATGTGACATTGGTAACCCAAGTTCTGAAAAAAAAAAAAAATTTAATCATAAGAGTCATTTGAAAAACGTGTTTCAGATTCGTGCATAATGTTTTCAGAAACGTTTATTATACAGTTTATTTCCAAAATTCCATCTCACTCTCTGATTCTACCTCTAAATATAAATCTAATCCTCCTTCCTCGTCCTGTTCTATATATATAGCACACCCACATGTGATAAAGCCTTCTGCCACAGCAGTAAGGCAAGGTGGAGGGAGGGGGATGAAGGCTGTAGGTAACCTGTGGGAGCACTGAATGCACTTGGCTGCTGCTCATAATGCTCCAAAGATATAATTATCACATGCATGATGAGTACTACACCTGCTGCATCTCTTTTGCTTAAATAAATAAAAGATTACAGTACTGGCTCACTGGGAAACCATTAACCAGAGAGGTCACCAGAGGATTTCACACTCCCTGTCCTTCCCCTTCCATCTCTCTCTCTCTTGCTCTCTCACTCTCTCACTTTCTCTCCCCCTCTGTCCCTGCCAAACTATTCCTATCAGAATCCTCACCACCTCCTTTCCAGTGCTCAGCGTTCTGCTTCGTTGTGATTTTTACATCTTTTCACTTCCCCTCTTTGAGCCTTCTTTCCTGTTGCCTGTAAATCTGCTCCATTACAGTTTGCAGGTAGTGATTATCAAGCCAGAACTCTCAGTGAGAAGTAGGAACAGCTTTAACATGAAGGATGTGTTTTGTAGGTGCTTCACTTGGCATCCTTGTTAGAGCTTGCTTTGTCTCTGCAGCATAATTTAGCATTCTGCTCTGCCAGTGCATTATTTCCTCTTTTCTCAGGAGTCTTGCAGGTGTCTGTAACCTCACTGCTGCCCAGTGTGTGGCCAGGAATTATGTGTTTTTGTATGTGATGCAAAGGATTTTTTTCTTTTTTGGGGCTCAGCCCATCTGCTGGTCAAAAATTCCCCTGATTGAAACCTCTTCCACATCAGGAACCTGACCTATCACTGATTACATCAGTAGCTGATGTCCTCAAGCAGGGACAGGACCATTGTTAAGGCTGCTACAGTAAGAAGTGTTAGATACTTGGAGAGCTCCATTCTCCCCTCTCTCCTAACAGTGAATCCAATTTTAGGGCAGTGCAGTAAGACCTCTGCTGACTGCTGTCAACAATGACTCACTTTCCCATCACAGAGACAACCTTAAGGAATGCTTCAACCCAGCAGAAATTCTTTTTTCACAGCCATTCCCCAGATTCTCATTTCTGCTGCTATTGGTAGTAGATTTTGCAGCTTCCTAAGTCACCTCTGACTCACACCATTGTATCCACATGCATTTATTTCTCTCTGTGCACCATCATGGATTTACCAAAAGACAGTCAAAGTGCTCAGAGGCCTTACAGGATATGTGCCAAGCAGAGCAAGGTAGTGGTTTAAGAACTGGAACCTATTTCTAGTTTTGCCTGTGACTTCTCATGAAAGATTAATGAGATTATTTAGGTGAATAAATCCAAATGCATGGAAATAGATATTTAAACACATATATAGTGAGAATATGGCCAAATTTTCAGGAATGCTTAATTCTCAAAATTTCATTGATAACAACAGAATCTATTATTGTACAGACCCATTTGTATGCAAACCAATTTACATAGATAACCAAGACAATTAAGTGTTGGTATCTAAATTTGAAAATATTTGCCATGCACCTTTTTTCCTTCAATTACTGAAAAAAGCATTATTTCACCATTATTGTTTCATAATGTGCTTATAGATCCTGAAGTGACAGGTGATGTATGAAAGTAAAAAGTCTGTCTGCATAAAGTCATAAATATTTCAATATGAGAAAAAAAAATAGTAACTAAAAGTTTTTAAAAAGTAGTAATACTTGAGAAATAAATTTGGTAGCAGTTGTACAGTTCACTGATATCTATAGGTGGTAGAATCCCACCATGGCATGGCTTCTGCTTCATGAGTCCCATCAAAACACATTATTATATTATTGGGGAATTCTAGCCATGCCCAGTGCCTGCACTGACTGACTTACAACAGATGCAAAGGGAAAACAGCATGGATTTAAAAAAAAAAAAATGCATTGAGCTTAAATTGTTTCTTTCTATTGCTATTTTCACAAAAGCCTGGGAGGTGTGGGACAGCTTTGGAGACTCTAATGGCAATTCTTGTCTTTCAGGCATCGGATCTCAAAATCAAAATTTAGGTAAGTAAAACTGACTTTTGTTTTTCCTCCTTTCTACCGTTTGGATTCTTTTCTGAAGTGGTTTTTACACAAGCATAGCTGGGATGCAGTGGTGATTCTAGGAGACCCTGCTAAATATGTTAGATTTTAGTCATCAGTTTTTTCTTATTTTCACACTGAAATAAGGCACAGGGACTACTGACCACTGAAGTACCTATCTGTGCTACCTATGTATCTCAAATCATAAAATATAAACTCAGAAATAAAAAGCCAGATCAACCACATAATTATACTACATCCCTCAGCATCAACCCTGTCAGCTCAAGGCTCTCTTTGTTGAACTTCTCTGCTTTGCTTGATTGTAAAGATTTTAACTGATGAAGGTGGCAACTTATTTGTGAAATTCTCCCATTTACCCTGGGACATGGGGAGCCTCTCTGGTGGTGTTTGGTTTTCTGTTGCCTTAGATCTTTTGGAAAAGTGAAGCAGTCCCAAGATGGCAATTTCTGGGGTTTCACTGGAGAGGCTGGCTGAACTCATGAACTTGGTTGTTAAAGTCCAATTCTACCCCTTTGGTAGGAGCTCAGATGCCTCCATAACCCTGAATTCAAAGTCAGTTTTGTAAAACACTAAATGAATTTTTGGAATAACTGGAGCAAGTGCCTAAATGAGTCCTTCTGCTTACCTAAGGAGCAATGAGTAATGTCAATTTGGGAAGCACATATGTGACATCCCCATGCAAACATTGTAGGTATAAGCACAGAAAACAACTTACATTGTCATGTGCATGCACATTTGTGCACAAGGACACACAAAAAAAGCATGTGAGATTGCAAATAGTTTCATGACAACATTAATGTCTAAATGGGATGCCCACTTTGGAAGTCAGGCAGATTATTTCTTATCCCAAATCCGCTGCAAAACACACAATGTATCTGTTTGTGATAGACTGGGTGCCTTTATAAATTGCACAGGTAAAGCACCCTAGATTTGTCCACCTGTTAAAACGCTGTTGAAAAATTCTTGTTCACATTGTGCTTACATGGTCTGGCTTTAGTTCCTAGAGATGAGAACTCTGATCTCAAGCATGGCTATAGTTTGCTACTGAAAATTATACACAGGATGAGAGTAGCCAAGAAAAGTTCTTTCTCCTCTAACATCATGTATGTGTGTGTCCCTTCACACACACACACATATGTATGTAGTAGCTATATAAAACTATTAGATTTATTATACAGCAGCAAGTGTTGCCTGGAAACTGGTTGCTATGCAAGTTAAATTCTGAAGAGTAGGAGGTGTGTAATTAGCTTTAAATATCTTCTGTGGTTAGTAATTACCCTGAGAAATCAGTGACACAAGGGGATGTGTTCATGGAAGGCAAACTTTAAAAACTCTCTTGATTAGCAAATGGTACCCTTAGTTCCAGCCATGAAGGTGAGATGCTCAAGTCCCCTAAGTTTTGGGGTTTTTTTTCATAACTAGCCCTTGTATTGGGCTTACTCTTGAATGTTGCTGAATGCTGGAAATGTTCTTTGATTTTATTTGACCTCACCTCTCCAAAGACTTAATCCTTCAGCTGCATGTGATAGAATATCTTTCCATTGACTGTCCTGAGGCTGGGCAAGGTGCCGTTGCAGGCCACAAGCATCAAGTACAAAGACAACATTTATTTTTGTGGTAACTGAGCTAAAAAATCTCTTGGGGTTTCCACAGTGGATGTCTTACTCAGATTAAGATATTGCTTGAAGCTCTTGCAAATTGGTTTAGGACAAACTTTATTTCTGTAGCTCTAGGAGGGATGTTCACAAGTGTCGACTCTGAGAGTATTTCTCAGGGTGAACTTGAGTTACTCTCTAGCATTCTTGACCAATAAATCAAGACTAGAGTCTCCCTTGGCAGAGAGCTGCAATAGCCTAAAGATCCCTCTCTGAAAAGAACTTTCCCTTCTTCAATTTTTCAAGTCGCTACTGGCGCCGATGGAATCGATTCTGCAGAAGGAAGTGCCGTGCTGCTGTCAAGTCCAACGTTTTCTACTGGCTGGTGATCTTCCTCGTGTTCCTCAACACCCTCACCATTGCCTCTGAGCACTACAACCAGCCAGACTGGCTCACGGAGGTCCAAGGTGAGGAGGAGGTGCTGGTTCTCTTTGTTATGGTCGGTGTCAAAAAAAGGGAGCTGAGAGAAGAGCTGATGCATTAACCCACACAATGTAAAAGGAGTGTCAACAGCTCCAAGCAGTCCTGTGTCTGTGGAGGATCCTAAATAATACAACAAACTCATCTGCCTGTGGTGGGAGAAGTTATAGGAAAAGTGTAAATACCTCCTTTCCAGCCAAAGCAGTGTTCCATTGGGTGTAAGTGAAATCAGGATTTCTTATTTAGCTTATGCTTAAATTTATATTTGCAGCCACTGTATTCCCAATTTATTACAGATAGCTACTGGGAGCCCCCCCCATTGTCCAAGGTTTCCCCTGAAATGGCATTTATGATAAATTCTAATTATTAGGGAGGTGATGAAGAGTGATTTGTAAAGTTCTTCTGTCTGCAGAACAGCTGAATTCTCTCTGGAGGTGAGAGCAGCTGAAAAGGCTTAATTAAGCAACAGTAGGTAGCACAGCAGCTCCTCTATTCCCACTCTCCTGTGCAGATGAGGGGTGTGAAGGCAGGTGGTGCACAGCAAGGCGTGTCCCTGCCACTGGAGGTTGTGTAATACCTTGCAGCTGTATGTGGTGCAGTTCATAAGAATTGCTGTAACCCTCCTGCTAAAACGTTTCTGTGAATGAGATGCCCACGCTTTTCAAGTTCATTCTTTGACCCGAGCTTATACAAAGCTAACTTTTAAGACTGATCCTTAAAATGTTTTCTCAGAAGAGATGATTGGCCAATGATTAGTTGTGATTTTTGACTAAGTTTCCTTAATCTGTTTCTTCTTGCTTCCCATGAGACACTGCCAATAAGGTGCTGCTAGCTCTTTTCACGGCAGAGATGCTGCTGAAGATGTACAGCCTCGGTCTCCAGGCATACTTTGTGTCCCTGTTCAACCGCTTTGACTGCTTCATTGTGTGTGGAGGCATCCTGGAAACCATCCTGGTGGAGACCAAGATCATGTCACCCCTGGGCATCTCGGTCTTGAGATGTGTCAGACTCCTAAGAATATTTAAAATCACAAGGTACTTTATTGCTTCTCTGGGGCTGGGGGAGGGCTGCTGCTCAATGCACAACATGTATGGGTACAAATCACTCACATCCTTGTTTACTTTCACTTTTTCTACCATTAATTAGGTAGTGAGAGTGCTAGGTTAACAGTCCTCATCTTCTGAAGTCTGTAGCAGGGTGGGAAGGGCTGTACAGACTGGACATCTGTCCCTGATGTGAGTGGAGAGGAGCCTGGCACAGGCAGCTGGGGACACTTGATACCACATAAAGTGTTAAACTGAAATCTGGAATAAGGTGAACTGAGCTCAGGCTCTTGCAGTTCTCTGCAAAAGACAAACCCAAACCAGCAGATAGCCTTGTGACCTCTTCTTTTTGGTGGCAGAGAGGAGCCTGAAAGGCTGCTTTGAGCCAAAACAGCATTTGACTGAGGAGCCCATGCCAGCTCCAGTACACTCAACAGTGACCCGAGTGGGAGATTGTGTCAACACCTGCAGCCATAGGCACAGGATGGTGCCAGCTATTCCCCTTCTAAGGAGTCCATCACAAAGCAGCAACTTTTTTTTTCAGCTTCCAATATCTCCTCTTTTCCCTTTTCATTCTTTCCCCTCTCCCCCTGCATAAAGGCAGAGTGTTATCATTTAAACAGTCACTGCTTGCTGAGCCAGGTACCTCCAATACACCAGCTTGGTTTGGCAGGGCTTTTTTCAGCTCGAGGGGAGTTTGTAGGAGAGATCAGCTCCAAACTTACCCAGAGCTCTTTCAACAAATCTCTCCAAGTGCTTGCCCCAGGTAGCACAAGGTCTGCTCTTTCCCATGTGGGCACCAGCCAGCACCTTACAAAAAGCTTGGCTGAGGTGGTGAAAGAGAATGTTTCTCACAGAAAGAGTTTTTCTGGATGCTCAGCCATGAAAATGTCCCTACAATCCCTGTAACACCCCCCACCAGAGGAAATTTCTGACAAACTGGAGATAGAAAACACAGCACACGAGAAATACAAGTCCAGAACTGGAAGATAGTCAAGATGACTGAGCTGAGAGGCAGAAAAAAAAAAAAAACAATAGGCTTGGATTTGTGCATCATACAAGGTTTGTCCTTAAAGCTTCTGAGGCTCGGATCTCTGGCAGGATGGATGGATCTCAGGGTCAGATGGCAGAGACAAAATTAGTTCACAGTCTCAGAGAGAGAGGCCAAAGCAAGCCTACAACTATTTCAAAAGGGGGAAAAGAAAAAGTGATCTGTTTGGATGTGTGATCATAGAAGAGGGGAAAACCTTCCAGAGGGGAACATTCCCTCCCAGAGAGGGGAAATGAGTTTCCAGCAAGAAAGATATCTTTCACTATTTCTCTTTCAGAAAGAGTGGGGCTCTCTGGTCTGGGGACTGTTTTTCCTGGATCTATCCATGACCAAGTCCCGGGCCTGGTTTCTGAGGAAAGCAGTAGCTGTTTCAGGCACTGGGTAATCAGATACACCCAGGGCAACATACCAACAGCTATAAAAGCAAGAGCTTCAACATAGCATCCTGGAGAGGTCATTGTTTTTGCAAGACATGTCTCCACTCCCACACGAAATATATAAGCCAGCTAAAGAGAATTCTCTAATAGAAAGGCAAACACTGAGAGAATATCATTAATACTTTAGAAAGCCTGAGCTAGTGGAGTACTCAAATATTCCTAAAGCTTCTGGCAGAAATGTGATGATGGAACCAATCAGCAATAGGACTGGTTACATTTGCCTTCACTCTGCAGCACAACTGAAATACAATTCTTCCTGGTAAAAGTGTTACCTGGAATATGTCTCCTGCAATTTGTGCATGGGTCTGTGTGTAAAGCACAGAGCTAAGGAAGAACTCATGATGCATAATGTATTAATCAGATTTTTCTTTCTTTCTTTCTTTCCTGTTCCTAAAATATTGACAAGTAGGCTGCAGTCATTTCAAATTTATATGTTTTGTAATTATTCATAATTTTCTTCATAATTCTTCCCTCTGTGGGTGAAGTTCACCCTCATGTGGAAGGCCCTAACACGAGCCTCCAAAGCAGTATTTTAGGCTCACTCAGGCCTTATTGCAGGAAAGAGTATTTTGGCTTTAAAGCCATACTTTTACCTTCTCTAACAAACTACAAATTTTTCTATTGTTCACTCAGCTGTAAATACAGTGAGGATTTATTAATAACATTATCATCACTGGTGGAATGCCCCACCTGAGTGCAACGATAATTCAGAAAGATTCAACTCTGGAAAGCTGGGAGGGGCAGGAGGAATGATAGTGTCCTGTTTGATATCAAACATACATTCATGAGCATATGGGGACATAGAGTGAAGGTGAGAATAATGATATTCTAGCATATTAAAAAGCTACAAAGCAGGAAGATTACTCTGGTGAGGATATATCTTTATATATTTGGGTAGATTTTCCATGGTAAACACCATGCACAAACAAATTCTGGGTTATCAAATGATACAATTCTACAAGAAACACAAATATAGCTCCATAATAGAATAAAAACAAATAAAGACACCATCAGATGAACAATGCACCATTTTAGAAACACCATTTAGAATTTCAAGACCAAACATTTCTTCCAAAATTATAAATACATTAGACAAGCAGACAGTGTAATCTGTTTTATTCTCCCTAATTTTTAAAGTGCAGTGCAGAACATCTCACTTTGCTCTGAGAAGACAGATTATTTTCTCATTGTAAGTAATCCTTCGCTGCTTTATATGTGTTATAGTCCTTTGTATTTAAAAAATAAATCATATAATTTGTAACAGCATACAGAAATGTGATGATTTATACCTAATCCTACCACTAGGTAAGTCACTGTTAATTGTAAGGAGGAGAGATAAGGTTCCTCATTTTTTTGTACCTTCAAAAATCACTGTCAAAACTCCATGTGGTTTTATATTGGGTGAGCAGGGTGGGAAGCTCTCCAGTAATGTCTGCCAGCTGTCGCTGCTGTTTTGTTTGTGTCCGTGATTGCTGGAGATGTGATCATAAAGATCAGGTGGAAAGCCATGGGGAGAGAGGAGAGGGAAGAGAGCAGAACACCTTCAGTTCTAACCCAGCTCTGCAACTGATGATTGTTGTGTGGGATGCTGAACAAACCACTTGACTTCTCTGCATCCTTCCTCTGTTTTGAAGCAGGGATCACAACCATGTCCTGCTCACCTGGGGTTTTTCTCTGGCACCCTCCAGGGCCCAGGATCTGCAGTGGGAGCTGTTCAGAGGCACATTCATTGCCCCATAAACCTGACCAGCAGCTCTGCTTTCTCTCATCCTTCCCACTAAAAGATGCCTCCTATTCCATCCAGTACCCAGTGCTGATTTTCCCTTTGTAGTAAGCTGTTAACCAGAGAGGATGGAGAGACCCTTCTTATTTGTCTGGGCTTCAGCCACTGCTGACATCAAACCCTCGTGTTTCACTGAGTAATCCCAGATCTCAGTTTGAGGGAGATCATGTTAGTTCTGCAGCCACCAAATGTGACAGATGGTAACCTCAGGTCAGGTTTCTAGGACCCTGAGATAAGACTATTGTTATTTTCACATCCTAATCAGTCAAGCATTTCTTATCCTCTCTTTTTTCCTTTTTCTCTTTTTTTTTTCTTTTTTTTTTGTTTTCCCCTGATTGCTTTATTTACTTTTCCAGTGGTACTGTAATTCCAGCTAGCACAAGTACACAGATAAAACAGCACTAATCTTTCCACCAGGCCATCTCAGTTAATTGCTTGAAGCTTGATACTTATATAAGAATCTGAATCCCAGGTATTGAGCCATTTGTAAGAAATGCAGAGCTGACAGAAGTCTGCACAGTTGTGAGCTGAGATAGCAAGCCTTTAAGCTTAAATTGAGTAACTAGGACTGTTCAGATGCGTAAAAAACTTTACTATTTCTTAAGAGTACTGCTAGAAAGACCTAGAAAATGTGTGTCCTGGCTGACATTGGAGGACTTAGAGATATTCTGGAGCCCATCAACCTCTGCTTTAAGGATGCTGAATTCATTTGACTTTCATCAGAATGAATTTTTCCCTTCTCCTGTGTCACTTTCCCTTCTTTCCAAAGTGTGAAAGTATGTGAGCTGTGAGCATAACTGCAAACACAGGGAGCTGTTACATTGCACATTCCGTGTGGATATTTGGTGGCACTGAGCCCACAGCTCTTCCATGCCCTTACCTTTGCTCTGGAGTTTTTCATTGCTCATCTCTTTAATTGCAGTTAAACTTTAAAGCATCCTAGTTTTCTCTGAAGTGCTGAAGCTGGGCTGGAGGGAAAACATCACAGCTCTCTTTGAAGCTCAGTCCTTGGAGATGAGCCCACTGCTGAACTTGACAGGACATGGTGATGTCCCTCTGCAGATCAGACTGTTAATCTTCCTGAAGTGATTGGGCTGCTCAGGCAGTCCTGCCTTCCACAGGACAGGAAGAGTATTGGTTTTAGATGAATATTTTTAAAATATTAATATAACTAGGATTTCAAGAACTTTTGTCTTTCATAAATATATATACTACCTTCAGAAAAAAATGATAAGTTGAAGGATAAGGCTTCCACAAAAGAGCCAGAGCAGAAGTCTGCCATCCTTTTTACCTGGAACTTTTGTCTTCAGAGAAAATATGGTTAGAAATGCAGAGTCCTCTGAGTCAAGAGATGTTCAGAGTTGTGGGGTTCGGGGGAAGGGACTGGAGGGCATCAGTCTTGGTGGACTCCCAAAGCATGGTGGCAGGTCAGGTAGCACAGGCAAACATTGCTGGCTTGCTGGCCTGTGGAAGCTGTTGAGGCTTTGCTAATAATGTGCATCAAAATGGGGTGACTGGAAGAGGACAGCTAATCTTCAGCCCAATCTGAGAGCTCTGCCAGCCTAAAGCACAAAAGAGAAGAGCTCATGACCAGCTAAGCAGTAGATGAGGAGTGACTGAGCAGATGCAAGACCACAGTGGAAGTTTCTTCATGGGTGATGTGGTCAATTCTTTAGAAATTTTTTCTTAAGCCTCTTTCCAGCTTGTGACTCTTCAGGCTAGCAAAGAATGCAAACTTCTATGCTGCAGCAAACATGCTGCTGGCATCTCTCTGAACCCTAAAGTGGAACCACAAGGGCAAGAAGATCCTCTCCCTGCATCACACATGAGTCTGAAGCAGGCACAAGCCTGGATGCACTGGCAGAACAGGTCTTAACCATCCTGTCTCTTGAATGAAGCCACTGGAAAATGTTCAGCAGCCTGTTTGAAGAAGTAGAGTCGGTTTGAAAACCAAAAATCCCGGTGATGTTGTGCTCTTCCAAATGAATGTAGATCTGGAGTTTGCTTTAGGGTCCTTGTAAAAGGAGCATTGATATTTTTCTCATTCCTCCCAGTCCCAGAGAGCTCAGCAGCCTCTCTGTGAGTGAGCCCAAGCACAGACTCACACACTCCAAATTTTGGGCAAGTCTGTATTTACATCCAAACAGTTTCCCCATCTGTTCTTGTTAGTTATTACAGGCCATTCTCTGGAGTGAGGTATTCGGGCTGCCATAACATCTCTGTGTTGTAATGAGGTTGGTTAGAATGGAACTCACTGAAGCAGCAAGAACTAATCACGGTGTATTGATACAAGATGTGCAGAGCCTAGATGGAGAGTGCTGCAATAATCTTTTGGGTGTGTGTGTGTGGAGTGGGGGGTGCAGGGAATTGTGTATGTACACGTGTGGTAGTAAAATTACTCATTAGCTGCAGTAGGTCTCGTTATCTTAGGGAAGCACATCAATGATTCACTGCTAAACAGGCTGTTTGGAAATGCCTGCTTTGCACAGAAGGCAGCCTAAACCAACATCCTGTGCAGTCCATGAGCACCTGTCTCCAACTGAAGGAATTTTAACTGCTTCTATTTTCTCTCCCAGATATTGGAACTCCCTGAGTAATCTTGTGGCTTCACTCCTGAATTCAGTCCGCTCCATTGCCTCCCTGTTGCTGCTTCTCTTCCTCTTCATCATCATCTTCTCACTCCTGGGGATGCAGCTCTTTGGGGGCAAGTTTAACTTTGACGAGATGCAGACCAGGAGGAGCACATTTGACAACTTCCCTCAGTCCCTCCTGACTGTGTTTCAGGTAAGGGCATATGAGTGGTCCCTGTGGAGCCAACATGTTTTGTTTTCATGGGGCAGGATAGGTCCTGCAGCCTGGCAGTGCCCAGGATGGGACATGACCCCAACAGCTCCAGGAGCAGGGTGCCAGGCTGGGCTGCCAGCACGGGGTATTCCCTCCCAAAATGGGAACCAAAGACAAAAGCCCTGTGTGTTTGCAGGGCAGGACAGGAGAACAGCCCCTGCCATGTCCCAGGGCAGCACCTGTGAGCCAAAGGCCAGCCCTGCTGCTGCCCTCCCCACCCTGGGGAACAAACACCTGCTCACAGCACCACAGAAGGAATCCCATGGCCTGTAAGCCCTCTACAGCTTTGGGAGTGACCCACCAAGGGCATCAGGATCACGATTCCACTGGCATGTGAGGAGAAGGGAAATGGCCTGGAGGACTGTGCTGAGGGCAGTGCTTTAGGCTGTGCAACCTGTCTGAAACAACAGGGCGGGAGGGAAATGCTTGGAACAAGAGGGAGACTAGGAGAGACATTTCAGCCATTATCTACAAGAAGACACAGTTTTTCACACTTTGAGCACAGGCCTTCTTTGCATTTTCTTTGTTCTGTTGTGGTTTTGTTGTTTGGGGTTTTTTGAATGTTCTAGATGGACACAGGCAGAGTCCCCATCAGCTCCATCCTGGGGGAGGGCTTGTTCTCTAGGACAGGGGGTATCTTTGTGTTAATGGGGTTTTCAAATTCTCTGTGTGGTCTAACACTGTATCCCTTATTGGTGGGAATGTGTCATTTAGATCCTGACTGGGGAGGACTGGAATTCGGTGATGTATGATGGGATCATGGCTTATGGCGGCCCCTCTTTTCCAGGAATGTTGGTCTGTATTTACTTCATCATCCTCTTCATCTGTGGAAACTGTATCCTTTGATGCTACTCTTTTCTGCAAGAGGGGATGAATTAAAACCACTATTTACTTTGTTATGTCAGAAAATAGTGAATTTCACACCTCGTTTTCTGCCTTTTCCCTAGGTCTGAATTTTGGCATTGCACTGCCAAAAGTTAAACAAGTTCATTCTGTTTTAGCTGGTACTAAGGCACATAAACAGTTGTAAGAGCCAGCTACGTGCCAGCTTTTCCACATGCTAGCTTTTATTTAGTATCTTTGCACGTTTAGTATTTTTATTTTTCATTCCCCTTAATTCTCTCATAGGTGTTTCTTTCCTGCCTTCTCCACAAACTAATCTCTGGGTGTTCCTACTGTACTTACTGCATTTTTTATTTTTTTTTTTTTACTTTAATTGCTTTTTTAGTAATATATTCCATGTGCTTCCATCCAAGCCTTATGTGGAATAAAAAGATGTATAATCTGCAATATGCTATATACAAATGCTGTAATAGGAGTAATATATGTTTGACATAATTGATTTATGTGAAATCATATATTAATTCATGCATAAACTAACAGGCCCTGTGTTCCATTTCAGTCTCTGCAATCTGTGTGTTCTTCAAACAGAAAATTTGGTGCTCTGTTATCTTCCAGCCCGTGCTGGTCTTGAGTATCTTCAGTTCTGTCTGTCTTTAAGGTGAAGTGAGGGCACTGTACTTCCCCCAGGAGGCACAAAGCACATTGCATGATTGTGCTGTGAGTGTCTCTTCACAGGAATTTGCATATAACACAGAGCTGCCATTCTGTTCCCTATCTCAGTTTGCTCCAAATTTGTCCATGTTTAGTTTCTGCTTCCCTAATAAATGACCCTCCCGTGTCAGAGGTGACATTTCCTTTTATACTGACGCTTCTACAAAGCCACCTTATAGACTCAGCCCAGCTCTTCTGGCCTTTGCCCATAATTCAGATCTCTCAAACCCTGTTATTTGACGTTTCAGTTGACCTGCATGCCCTCACTTCAAAGTGAGATGGTGCAATTCCACTTATCTGAAGGTCAAGGTAGGCAATCTCACTGACAGCTTAAAAAAAAAAAAAGCTACAACTTGGATCTCCTTGTGAAAATGTGAGCCAACTCTACATACTGGCTGACTTTGGAGCCTTTAGACCTTGGAGCCCAGAGGAGGAGGGGGATGTCTGTGTTTCCAGACTAAGCCTTGAACCAGGGCTTGCTTAGAAATTATCATGGTACAATAAGACCTGCACTCAAGAAATTTATAAAACAACCTTATGGTCAGATTTGTAACATGAGGTGTGAACACTGACTGGTAGGACACGAAAAAACAGTTGTGATTCCTTGCCCTTCACCTCCATGGGCATGACTGGCCATGCATGGACACTCTGCTAGGAGATGGCAGAGTTGTCAGCTCAACCCTTCACTGTCCAGACTAAATTAACCTCAGAAATGCTGATCAGAGTACAATCCTTGCTGTCCACAAAATGCCAAAAGATGCAAAGCATTCAGTACTCCTCTTTATGTTCAGTGGGATTCTCTGCACAAAGGGAGACATCCTTGGGAAACTGGAAACTAAAATGTAAATTTGGGCTTAGATGTTTTGCATCAGCCCAGATTGTTGTGAAATTTTGAAAACCCACAAAGTGTGTTATCTGTGTGGAAGGAAGGTGTAGGTTTGTGCATGATGGATATGCACTTGTGTGAAATGGAAGTTTGGAAAATCCTAGAGATCTGATGACAGGTTGATAAAATTTTCAATTAAGAAACCTTTGGTATAATCTTTTTCCACAGTTTTCAAAGCCCGTTTTCTTTAAGTTGCACACAAACAGATATCCTGCTGAATGTATTTTTGGCCATTGCTGTGGACAACCTTGCTGATGCTGAGAGTTTAACATCTGCACAGAAAGAGGAGGAAGAGGAAAAAGAAAGGAAAAAGCTAGCTAGGTAAATCCATTTGCATACACCTGTCTGCACACATTCCTGTAATTACACACAGCATGGATATATAAGAATATGATGCCTATACATACATGTGTGAATATGTAATATATGTAACTTGTCTGTATGTGTATGGATTATATATGTGATTAATGTAATTATATATGGAATTATGTATGTATACATTTTTATGCAAAGGAATTTCAACCATAAGAGAAGAAAGTGTTGTGAGCCAGGAGTCCCCCCCAGTTGCAGTGGTGTGAGCAGAGCAAAGGAAGTCTGGGTTTCTGATGAGCTTTGAGAGCATCAGCAGAGAATGAGTGTGAAACAATGTCAATCCCACTTGCATCTCCCTACAATGCTCTGACTGCTTTGGGCCACGAGGCATATTTTCTGTCATTGCCATGATGGGATTTAGCAGCTTCTTTTTCTTTTGATGCCACATGCTGTTCTTCTCTTGCCAGTTCTTTTAGTGTTTCTGCAGACACTTAAGGGCACAAGCTGGATGAGGAGCTTCTCTGTCATTCCCAGCTGCCAACGCTGGGGAAGCCTCTCCTTTCTGGTTACTCCTATTCCCTGTCTTCCAGGCTGCCTGGAGGGGATCTCTTGTGCAGCTCTTTCTGCTCCATCCTGCATGCAGCTCAGCATATTTCCCTCACTCTCAGGGTGCAAACATTTGTAGGCTATGTAGTTGGAAGTTCACAAGATATGAAAATATATGAAAATGGTCTGTGCCTTTGTCGTTGGGTGGACAAAGAGATCTCTGCTGACAGACCCAAAATATGCATTTGCACAAACACACACACACAAACACATGCCATTGAGAAAGTCACAAAATAAAGCTACTATGTAAAGATAGATCAGAGCCTCTGCCTTTGCCTGCAGATGAGGACAAGGTGGACTGGTATAGAAACTGAGCTCAGAATGGAGATTCCAGCCCTCTGATTGTTTTCATGGTGTGTGCTGTACTACATGAAGCTCCTGAAAGGGAAGTAGCTTTCCACCTTTGTAACTCTTCAGTTTTTATCTTGTAAAATTGCTAGGACTGCTAGTCCCGAAAAGAAACAGGAGATGGAAAAAACAGCTGTGGAGGAAGAGACAAAGGAGGAGAAAATTGAGCTGAAATCGATCACTGCTGATGGAGAGTCCCCTCCTGCTACCAAGGTAAGGTGTGCTGGCAGCCAGCACTCGGTGTGCAGTGATGGCATGAACAGCTGGGGGTTCTCAGGGGATGAAAGCTGTCTGCCTTGGCTGATAAAGGCTTTGATGCTTCTCCTTCCGTTTCTGTCAGATCAACGTGGATGATTATCAGCCCAATGAAAACGAAGAAAAGAGCCCTTATCCCACAACAGAAGCACCAGGTACACATCTCCTTCCTTGTACCCCTCTCTCAACAGAAGCTCCAGTTGCTAATGCACACAAAGGCAAGCTGTGGTATGCTGGAAATGCATTCATGATGGGACAGGGTGCTGTTCCTGCCTGTGTTTGCACAGCTATGGACTTGGCCCTTGGAAGTCCCAATACTGATCAGTCATATTTTATTTGATTCTCTGTAAAGCTCTTTATTGGAAAATACGGAGCTTTACAGAAAATCAAATCATAAAAAAACCTCCCTGTTTGAAAATATGCATATGACAGTGTTTTCAGTGTGCTTTTTCAGTATTCAGTGGTCAGGGGAGTCTCACAACAGATAGTCATGAAAGGAAAGTGCTGAATGCCTTTTTGCACTGTTTTCTAATCAAAAAGAGCAGCATGACATTAGCATAACTCTAAAAGCATAAGATCTCAGCCTAGAAGTGCAAGAAAAAAGCTGTAGCACTAGTTAGGCTGGTTTTCAAGTCAGGTGGGCCTAACTTCATTCTCAGATACTTGAAAAATCGGTGGAAGAAATCTCAGAACTTTAAGCACTGTTCAAGAGACCCTGAATGGGGGGTAGGATTGGACTAGTCAGTTCAACTTCCATTCTTGGGAAAGTGCTGGAACAAAGGATTAAATAAAATATATGACTGCAAGATAAGGAGATGACTAGCAGCCAACACAGATTTGCCAAGAGCAAATCACATCAAACCACCCTTATTTTCTTCTAAAAGAGGCTGAAAACACTTGTAGACAGGAGAAAAGAAGTAGATGTCTCATTCTTTAAATTTGCTAAGACTTCTGGCCGTCCCTTACAGTGTTCTCATAAGCTGACTAGAAAAATATGGTCTAGATGATGGTGAGAGAAATGATCAGACCCTTTATGGGGAGAGCAGTGATAGCCCAAGTGAGTTTGTACAACCCAAAAGCCTGCCTAGAGTTCAGCTCAGTTCACTGTTAATGACCTGAATGATGGAAGAGGCAATATGCTTATTACATTTGGAGATGACATGAAGCTAGGAAGGACAAGAAGCATGCTGGAGGGCAGCATTAGAATTCAAAGAGCTCCTGAGGTCCTGGATAAATGGTCTAAATGAAATTGAAAGTGCCAGGCTCCACGCATAGACAGGAATAAACAATTCACAAATAAAGGATCTTAGGTGACAGCTAGTTAGGTAACAGTCCTTGAGAAAAGGATCTGAATCTAATGGCCACAAGCTCAACAGATGTCAGCAACGATTTGCTGTCTTCAAAAAGGCAAGCAAGTAGTGAGATTTGTAACACAGAGAAAGAATGAGCCTTTTGTCCAGTTTCAGGTTTGTTTTAACTGGCCAATGAAAGCTAATCAAAGCAAAGCAACTGTTTTATTGTGTGCACCATTGATAAGATCTCTGGAATCTGGAATATCATGGCTCTTTTTGGGTGCTCTGGTTAAGAGGAGCTGAATTAGGAGTATGGAAGAGAATAGTGAAAACAATGCTAGTAGGTAGCAAGAACTAAGATTGAAAGAACCTTGGTCATTTGACTTAGGAAAGGCAGGAGAAACATCTTCAAATGCACAAAAAAAGCTCTACAGATAGGAAGAGAATTACCTCCATTATGAAGCAGCAGATTTAAGGTTCACAGCAGAGAGAATTTTCTAACAGTGAAGCTGTAAAAGTTCACAGAGATGGTTGTGGAAGCCCAGCATCACTGCATGTTGTTAAGGACAGGTCAGGAAAATGTCTCCCAGAAAAGGCTTAGATATAATAATTAATTGAACCTGGCTTGGCAGAGGCACGAACCAGAGGGCCTTTTGTGATCCTTTCCTGCTCTGCTCTTCTGTGATTATGTAACAGGCTATAATAGGCCATAAAGCACTTTCTCTTCTATTCCATGATTCCTGATAAATAAATGTCTGATAATAGGTTGATTTGATAGGGTAAAAAAGAACACAAGAGTTCATTTTGAGTAGATGGACAAGAGTTTCAGTCAAGCAGAATGGAAAACCGTTCATTGTGTTTGATTTTCAGTACAAGACGTCCTCACATATGCTGTACTTGTATTTTTCCATATTTATAGCAAATTTATCAGGAGTAGAGTGTGGTTCTAACTCTGTGCAATAGTATTTTAGCACTGCCTGAGGCAGGTCCCTCTGGATTTAGATTTCCCATCACCTCTGTAGACACAGGCACTTACTAGACACACATCTCCAGCTGCTAAAGGGTTTGTAGGGTCTTTAGTAAGAAGCACAAATTAAAACAGCTTGATACAGTTTTGTTTCTGTTTCTCAGCTGGCTTGGATTTGCAGACAATTACATTTTTTTTCAAGTGAAATGACAGTCATCTGAATGTCAATTTTAAGTCTACTACTCATAGAATTGGGGTTTATTTCCTTTCTGCAGATAGCTTAGAAAGAGTGGCTTATAAACGAAATACAAAACAAAACACTACATCTACTTTTTTTTTTTTTTTTTTTTTCATGCAGCCATGCATAGAATTAGGGTGCAGAAGATCAAGTGAAAACACTTTTAATGCCTGCCTCGGGGTGCCAATCCCTGTCATAAGATACTTTTGAACACAACCTAAAATATGAATGGATTATCAGGTTTTTTCCTGTCTCCTAATAGACATGCAAAGGGACACAATCTTGGCTACTTTCCATTGAATGGCATTGATGCCATTTCTAAACAAGCCTGTTCTCTGAATTGTTTATCAATTCTTTGTGAAGACTGAAGATTCCATGTTCAGAAACCATTTGAATTGGTTCATTTTTTTTTCCCTAACACCATAGGGTCTTTCCTAACCTACCTTGCTCATTCTCTGATTTGTTTCTGCCCCTTAAACCAATTTTCTCAATAACCCCTCCTGACTCTGCTGCACAGTGTTGCTCCTCAGCCCCAGAGTAGCTGCAGCTCCTCAGGTCACCTGGCCTCTTTTTTGGAAGAACAGACTGGTTCTCCCAGAGATTTGTGTACACTAGAAGGATTATTATGATGATATGTTTATCACAGGAAGACAAGGAGCTAGTCTTGCAGTCTAGTACAGAAATAGACAAAGAATTTAAACGTCAGATGAAGGTAAAAGCTTGGGATGATTCATGGGAGCTTGAAGTAAAATAATGTCCTCATACAAGAGTTCTGGTCTTTGTACAGTAAAAAAAAAAACAACACAAAAAACCTCCCCAGCATCAAATTTCTCACTGATGCTGCCCTGTAGCCTGTTTGTGCTTGTATCCACAGCCAAAGAACATTTGCTTCTCCAAATGTACAAATGTGAGCAGCTGTGCTGCTTCTCTGTGGAGGTAGATAGCATGGGCAGTGACCTGGGATGAGGCTCTAATCCTGTTATTCTTTGTGAATTTGGCCCTCAGTGTTTCCTTTCTTCTGCGCCCTAGACTCTAAGTGAAAAGTAGAACATTGTTCTTGATCTATGGCTGAGGAACTGAATGTGTTTTTCAGTCTGAAAGTATTTGGTTCCCAGAGTCATTAATCTATATTTCTTGCTGCATGGCAGACACAAGAAAAAGAGGAGAGGAACAATGTTCTTTATGGTCTTGATGGGGCTGATCCTTCTGCTAAGGGTCTATTTTTCAGAGGCATTGTTCCATGCTCATTTAAAAGTGTATTTTAAGCATTCCTCTGAGTAATGAAAGAAGAATGATCTCACATTGAAGGAGCAGAGCAGGGACCCAGAATACTCTTCTCAAGTAAGAGTTTCAAATATCCCACATGATCCGGGGCATTGGTTTTCTGGCCTGCTAAAGAAGAAAAAGAATTTGCTTACCTCACTCTTTGTCAGCCTCCTCTGAAACCTGTAGATAAAAGGTGCAAGTGCAAAATATGGTTCTATTACATAAACATGCACATCAGCCTTAACACCTATTTTACAAGTCCTATGTAAAAAAGCACTTCTGAAAGATGTTTCTTTAATGAATAAAGTCTGTAGAAAGAGTGTTATGAAGTATATTACACATAAAATTGAGCTGTTAAAAAATAGACTGACTTAAAAAGTACAAACTCTACGTACCAGCTCAAACATTTATGCAAAGATCTATCAAGAGAATTTGAGCTGAACTCTTGGTACTGGAAGTGTAAAGAAAGAATCCTATTTGCATGTAATAATGGCATGCATTCAAAAATGGCACTTTTCTCCTCTCTCTGATATCCAGATCAGGATCTGTGCTGATTCATCTATTCTTTCTGATGTGTCCTGCAACCAGATCAAGTACAGTACCTCACTCTAAAGGAACACCATTCCTGGAACTTATATCTCTTTCTGGACTCAAGATGAACCTTTTAATTAGAGTTTCCTCCTTTGCAGTGCCTGGAAGATGAATCAGTTTTATCTAACATGTCAGGCTTAAAGCTGTTTTTTTTTTTCTGATTTGGAGGACAGGATTGGGATCTTTAAAATAGCAAAATCCTATAATGTAATTTACAAAAAGAACATCTGACTTCAGCAGGTAGAAGAAATCCTGAAAGGCAGAAGCTTCTCTTTCACATGCCATTTAGCCTTCACCTCTGCATTTTCTGTCTTGAGATTGCTCACTGATCTACCTGGAGATGACACAGGTTCAAGAGTCTCAGCCTCATTCCCATCTTTCTGATCTTCCCCCCATTAAATTATAAAAGGGGACAATTTTAAGACTTTCTGACCAGTGTTAGTCAATATGTGTGTGCTCACTGCTTGTTCTGGGGCATACATGTGCTCATCCAGACACAGTTACAGATGTAGCAGCAGCTCCATGGAGATGCTCACAAATAGAAGAAAAACAATCTTGATAAACTGGAGGAATGGTCAAAATAAAAAATAAAATGTGCCCTTCAGCAAGGATGAGGTCTAAGTGCCACTTTTGGGAATAGTCAGAGCAGAAATGCAGAGGGAGGAGTGGCAGGCCAGGCTGTTGCTCTATGGTAAATAATCTGTGCTTTGTGCATATCAGACACTGATGGCAAATTAATGCCAAAGTATAATGAAAAGTGTCCATGAAGGACATTTAACAGGCAGATAGTATTGCAAGATACAAGAAATAATCTATCTTTCCTCTGCAGCAGTAAAACCTCAGCTGTAGGTTAATCCTGCAGATAGTCTGGAAGCTGTTTTGCTCTAGGAACCACATATTCTCCCAGAGGCATAAGAGTGGTCCTCAAGAAGGCAAAAGCTTTCTGCAAAAGGAAGGAAATTTTCAATTTTCTGTGTCCATGGAAAATAAGAAAGCAGATAATGGATCTAGACCACAGCAAGAAAGATTCAAATGAGCCATTAGAGGTGGCCTTTCTGTTTTGTTTTTTTTTTTGCAGAAAGAACTGTGAAGCATCTACAATATTGAGAATGTTGTAGGTTTAGCAGCACTAATGGTTTTACAGAGAGATGAGACCAGGGTGAGCACTGAGTAAAGGGCACTGCCTCAAAGGAGGGAAGGGCAAGGAAACTCAAGGCTTCAGCATCCTGTTTTAATAGTTCTTAGATTTTGGCTCTAGTTATGACAGAGACAAATGCCCCGGCACTTTGGAATGGGTTGTATTTTGCATTAAAAGACAAAAATGCTTCTTGCAGCAGAGGAAGATGAGGAAGAACCTGAGATGCCTGTTGGCCCTCGACCACGCCCCATGTCTGAGCTGCACCTCAAGGAAAAGGCTGTGCCCATGCCTGATGCCAGTGCTTTTTTCATCTTCAGTCCTAACAACAGGTATTTAAGAGATTGATTAGCCAGGAGAAGAAAGTGAAGAGCTGGTACCCTTTCTACACTGGGCCCCAAAAATTATAAGGTGCAGAGCTCCCTTTCAGCAGTTCATACCAGAGGCCACTTCTCCTTGAGGGCATGAAATCCTATGAAATCACAGCTGTAGGGAGTACAGTGAAAATATTCAGTGGGAGTTCATGGCACATGCAAGGCTGATTGAAGACACGAATGATGAAATAAAGGACACAGAGCCCAGTCAGTAATTGGAATTTCCTGACATGTCCAGGTCCAAACTGCAGGAGAGCCATCATGCAATCAATCAAGTGGGAGGCAGCAGCTTCTTGTCCTAAGGGCTGCCCAAAACCCACTCCCAGTAGGGAGTTCACTGCTGCACATCAAGAGTGAGCATAAAAGAAGAAATGAGAGGGGGAGGAGAGTCCATAGCTCTGAGAGGTGTCTAGGGGGCACAATTCTTCTCTCACACTTTGCCCATGGGCCCCTGCAATGCAGCCTCATGTTGTCACACCTGCCTTCCCAAAACAGGTGTGCAGGACCTGTGGGTGGTCCAGGGCTGTTAGGAGACAGGTGAGTTTATCTCTGCAAGGGTACAGCAGTGAGCTCACTGCCCCATGGTCTGGGCAGCACCACGAATTCCAGTGTCCCTCCAAAGGACTCAGCCTTCAGACACAGCCCCAGAGGAAGGCAGGGCTGGACCTGCACTGCTGAATTCAGAGACATTCTTTTCCCAGCAGAGTTTGTGCCACTCCTCCTTGGGAATGTGTAACAGGGAGGGACTGAGGGGCTCGTGGACTGTAATGCTAGCTTTGCCACCCACCCCCCGTCACTTGTAGAACTAAATTAACCTCTGCAGTCATCTGTAAAATTGCTGTAATAGGTACTTGGAGCCCTAACAGCCAAGAGCAGAGCTAAATAGATTAATGAAGTGCCTGTAGAATTATGCACAGAGCTATTATGGGGTTTAACTCCTCACATCCTGCTACCAACATATGGGAAGTGGTGTAATGGTCTCCAGTAAGCAAGTTTGATGGGAGATTCTCCTTCTTTACCTTTTGGTTTCCCACCAAGAGCACCAAGTGGGTCTATGTTTAGCATACAACCTGCATGGCATGATGTCTCTCAGAAGTCATTTTCTGATGCCAGCCTGCCCTGTATCCATTTGGCCAGGCCTGTGCCCTGTTAGCAAGGTAGATCCCCCACAGCTCAGACAGACATTGGCACCTTAAAGCTTGTATCTGCTGCTTTCCTCCCAAATGAATCAGGAATGGTTCCATAAATGAAAGCAAGGGAGGTAATTCTGGGCTGGCAGGTTTCAGACCACATGGAAATGACAAAAAGCTCTGTCGGGAGGGGGTGATTGTTCTCCTTTCAATCACACTGAGTGTGAGTCCTGTGTGGAGAGCCAGGCTGTCCCTGTGCTGGGGCAGAGGGAAGATGCTCTGCAGGGCAATCCTCTAGTGCTGCTGGCAGAAGAGGAAGGGGAAAAATGTTTCCCAGGTCTTGCTGTTCTTTGAGAGATAAAGCTGTGCCTCTCCTCTCTCTTGCAGGTTTCGTGTCCACTGCCATCGAATCGTTAATGATAACATTTTCACCAACCTGATCCTCTTTTTCATCTTGCTCAGCAGCATCTCCCTGGCAGCTGAGGACCCTGTGCGACACCTCTCCTTTAGGAACCAAGTATGCTTCCCATCCTCCTTCCCTCGCTGCCTACTGCAAGCAGATCATGACTGGGAGCCAGGAAAGGCAGAAAAGGCTGCATCAGAGGCTTTGGGAGTGCCTGTCTTCCATGGTTTCTGCCGTTTGTAGGCTGCGTGTGAAATCATTAGGTTTTGCAGGAAACATGAGTCAGTGCAGAATTTGGCCTCTAGTTCACTTCTGAAGTGTGTGTAGGGAAAGGAAGAACAGGAGGCTGAAGCAAAATTATTGTGCCCTGGCATTAAAGCGTTAGAAACAAGCTTTAAAAACGTTGATTGGGGATACAGATAATTCAATTTTGAGGGATTTTCAGGTTCCCTTTGGAACATTTGTTCTGCTGCCTCATGCTGTCTTTTAAACGAAAAATCCCAGGGCCTGATTTTCATTTTATTCACGCTAGTGTAAATCAGGAGTAACATTCTTGAGTTTCATGCTGTCACTCTGGGGGAAATTGATGTCATCAAGGTTAGAATCAGACTTTTTGAACAAGCTACCATTAAATTTGAGACAAACCTCAAAAAATATGCTGTGCTCCTCTCCTTACCTGCCTGGGGAGAGAAGAGGAAAGCATTCAGCACAGAGGTACATTCTCACCCTCTTTCATGACCATGCTTATTTTCCTTTTGAAATGCTCACTGCTCCCTTAGCTTTGCCAGTGATTGTTTCCATTAGTCAGGGGTCATTGCAGAAAAATGAGGAGTCAGCAGACATATGCAATACCTCTGATTTCTGGTGTCTGCAGTGGCATTTTGGTGCCTCAAAGCCTGAAGAGTTTGCTAGGATTGAAGAGTGGGGTGACTTTTTCTTGTTTAATAATAAAACCTTAATTTAATGCTCCCTGAAATATCCTGGCCTGAGCACGCATTTGAACACATATGTGCATGCAGAGAAGGTGTTAATGGAAGTCTATTCCTAAGCATATCTCAGAGTGGCTTTGCATTTTGTCCTGAAGGAGGATGCTAAATAATCCAGTCAAACCTGTGCCACCAATAACCCACTTGTGCACAAATGAGGGCGCACAGCACGTAGGGATCAGTGAATGCCAACATGTATTAGTGCTGCAGCATGTCAGCTGGCAGATGGGCTCCTGACGTGCCACAGAAACTGTCACAGAGTCTGCAGCAGAGAGATTTAAATGAGAGGAGGGGAAAAAAGGAGTCAGAGCTGGTTGTGCTGGATTAAAGAGCTGAGGGTTTGAGGCAAAGCGTTGGTTTGTGTACGAGAAGCCACTGGCGTTGCGTGAAAATCTGTGTTTAGTTTTTGCAGGCACAGATGTTTAAAATGTGTCCTGCAAGGGGACACCGAGAAGATGTTTTGGGTTGCCAGTGTGGTCTTTGTACTGTGGCAGTAGAACAGTAAGATCATGTCCCCCCTGTGCCCACTCAGAGGCCTGGGAGGAAAAGGAAGAAAGCAAAGCTGAAATCAAACTGAAAGCAAAGCTGAAATCAAACTGAAAGCGAAGCTGAAATCAAACTGAAAGCGAAGCTGAAATCAAGCTGAAAGTAAAGCTAAAGTCAAGCTGAAAGCGAAGCTGAAATCAAGCTGAAAGCAAAGCTGTCTCTGCCTTCACTCAGCATCATCCTATGCACCAGGACTGGGGATGCTGCTGGCACAGACCATCCCAGAGCAGGACAGGAACAGAGAGCCCAGCCAGGGCTAGTGGACAGCTTGGACTCTGCTTTCCTGGGGCAGGCTGTGTCTTTGTTGTGTCACACAGGGCTCAGGCAGTGAGTGTTTGGAAGTGCCAGCCCAGCCTGACCAAACAGCCTTTGATGTCCAAGCAAGTCCTAAGACTGTACTCACAATATTCTCCTGTTTGCACCTTGGCAAGATGCAAACATTTTAATATATTCTAGAGCAATCTCTTGTTTAGATAACAATAAATATACCAGCTGATGAATGGAGCTGCCTGCAGAGGTGAGGCTGTGACCATTTTCATTAGGCATGATTTCATCTTTGCTAGCTGCACCTTTGGGACCACATTCACCAGTGTGTGCTGGCTCCTTTGCAGCCCTCTGGTGAGGTAAAGCAGCAGTAGGTACAGCTTAATAATTCACTTTAATCAAGTTTGCAGCTTCTTTATGTTGGTGGAGTCATGCAAAGCAGTTAAGAGAGTACCCATGAATCTGGCCCATTGATTATAAAATTATTCCATTTTATAAAATAATCAAATGTCAGGACTTAAAAAGAGGCAAGGCAAAAGGATATTTCCAATTGTAATGTATGTAAATTAATATAGGTTGAAATCAAGATCTGCCCCCTTGAAGTGGCCCTTTCTTAATTCTCTAAAGATGCAAAAATTGATACAGTCCAAGACAGCCTTGAGGAGAATTTGGGATTAAAAACTGAGCAGTGAACTGAAGAATTTTGAGTTATATGGTATCAGAAATTGATACATCCACCCATCTAACAATCAGTGTTTGCAAATCAATCCAGATTTGGGTTGTGTTTAAATAGTACAATGTGAAATAACCCTGGAATTTGCAGTAGCTGCCTCTCTGCATAGCAAGCTGTAAGAATTTATCCACCTGTAAATCTGAATGAGGATATATTCACTAAGATACAATAAATGCCTGTGGGATGAGAGAGGGCAGTTCCCTGTTTTATGTTTATTAGTGTTTTAGCAGCAAAGCTCTAAACTTCACAAATTATCCATTTCCATATATTGGCCTTCTGGTTTAAAACATGATTATGGTAAAACAACAACAAACCATGGGCATGATACTTTTGATATTCAACATTTGTAGTGTAGATAGCACTAAAGTGGCTTGGGAAGTTGAAATATACTGGAAACAGAGAGAGTTCAATCCTGCTCCCATAAATCAGTGAGAAAGTTCCCATTTACTGTGAGATGCCAACACATTGGCAGTGAAGGACATTCCTGTCCTTGATGCTGCTACTTTTGAAAGTCCCTTTACACTTCTGGACCTCTCACTGCCTGCTGTGACACCACTTTTTATGTTTGCAGTACGTGCAATGGGTATCTCCATCACCAGGCCATTCCTGGGAATGATGAGCATTTCAGCTGGCTGGTTATTGAGGATGCAAATGGAAAGATGCAGGATCTAAGTTAGGCACCTTTAGAGAATGACCAAATTATGGTTGCAGTACAAGGGCTGGGATTCTGTTCAATTGGCAGAGTCTTTGTTATTCATCCTAATCCAAAGCAATTCAGGACAGAGAAAAGAAATAGCTAGAGTATGATTTTGCAGTTTGCTTTTCTTCCTTTGAGAGAGGCACAGGACAAGACTGAATGGAAGTTAATAAGAAGGAATCTCATGTTTTCCACTGAGAGATCAGGCATTCTTTGTATTCTCAGTTTGGAATCCTATTTGGGAAAACCCTTGAATGTTATTTATGAGATTTAAAAAAAAAAAAAAAAAATCCTACACCAACCAAAAAGTTATTTTGCCTCTATAGTGCTCATGAGATTGTAACTCAGGAAAGATTTCATGTAATGTGCTTCTTGTCCTCTGTGCCAGGACTGCATTCAACAGGACTTCACAAAACCATTCCCTATAGAGCCCTCCTCATTCCCTCGTGAAAAGAACTCATGTATTTGATTTTAACTGTGATTTCCCATTGGAGTGATCAGTCACTGACCTACCCTCCCCACTCCTATCCCCTTTTGTTTTTACAGATTCTCTTTTATTTTGATATAGTTTTTACTGTCATTTTCACCATTGAAATTGCTCTGAAGGTAAAGTGCCCATCTTCTCTACCATTCCTTGTTCACAAGCTTTCTGGTTTTCTGCCACTCTCTGTTGCTAACACACACGCCTGTTTGTTCCTGGGTCACGCTCAGTACCACTAACCCAATTGTGCTTATTTTTCAGATCCTAGGCAATGCAGACTATGTCTTCACTAGTATCTTTACATTAGAAATTATTCTTAAGGTAACCAATCTGAGAAATACACTTGTTTTCTTCTTTTCTTTCTCTTTCTCTTTCTTTCGCTCTTTCTCTGTCTCTCTCTCTCTTTTTTTTCTTTTTTTTTTGCTTTTTTTTTAACCTCGTTATTATCTCTACAAAAAGGGTTGTTTTTCTTTTCATTTGACGTTTTGGCAGTTGCTTAAAAAGTCTCCTGGGAAATTCTTATATTCAAACTTGTAATTGAGGGGCTATAGCAAAACAATGTTTTTCAGGGGAATTGCAATGAAAGGATGCAATGCTGGGAAATGTAAGAGAGGACCAAGAAAAAGGCCATCCCCTGATAAATTTCTCCCTCTACCCTGGCTGGTCTTTCCAAAATAGGATTTTTCTGCTCTGCAAGAAGCTCTGAATGCACACACCTCTTACACAGGCTACCCCCAGAGAGAAGGTCTCTGTTCTGCAGAAACCAGCCCAAAGGGTGCCTGATGACTTCTGTGAGCTTACAGCGTGCACAGCCAAGCAGGAGGCAGGGAGCACAGAGCAAAACCTCACTTTTTAGGTGTAGAGACACAACCAAGAGCACAAATCACTGAGACACCAAGGCCAGTAGCTGCCAATGAACATTGCTGCATCAAAACCCAGCTTCCAGTTTTCCCAGGAACGTGCCCTGTACCAAGGGGAATGTGCAGGAGAATGGTTTAGCTTGGAAGAAAATAAAAATAGGCTGCCTTGTTCTTAACTCTAATTTTCCCAAATTGGTAGGCTAATAATTTAAATAACAGTAATTGAGCTAAGTTCTGGCTTTCTAAATGCTAGGTTCACTTGGCAGCTGGTTTTTTTTTTCTCAGCAAGCTAGTTCTAAGTGCTGGCAGGCAGTGCCTTAGAGTTGCTCAAATTTTGCAGCTCAAGACCCTAATAACAGTATCTATATGGAAGGCTGGCAAGCAGGGTGGCCCCTGCGTATTTTTATAGTGAAACGTGCTTTTTTTTATATGACTTGAAATTACCAAAGCCATTATGTTCTCCAGGGAGATGTACACATTATGCCTGTGTGCAGTTTGCATCTGTGTTTACACAATAAATCTGAATGTGCACAGATCACATGGCAGATCCAAAAGGCCTGTCAAGAAAAGGAAAATATCCCAGCAGCAACGTTTAAAAATGAAACAATAGTTCAAGGCACCTGTTTGGACTCACAATTACTAATTCTGCTTGCCCTGAAGGAAGTGGTAACACTCCTGAGGACTTCAGTGGAAGCAGAGCTTAACCCAGCCCATTGCCTGGGCCTTCCCAAGGCCCTCCTGTTAACTTCAGGGATTTATGACAACATCCCTGGATCTTCTCCAAGTTCAAGTGGGAGAACAGTGCAAGGACCATAAGTTTAAATTTCACGAATAGCTTGGTTTCTCAGTGCAAGTTTCTCTGCTGCCTTGCACCAAGCACATTGTTTTGCAAAACAGCAAAGTTAATGTGAGTGGTAAAAACAAAAGAATGAATGGCAGTGGGATGTTCAAGGCTGTAGAGAAACAAGCTTCATCTGCCCTCCTGTTGCTGATAACAACACCTGCACTCTGGTGAATGCTGGCAAGGTGACTGCCAAGGATTTTAAACTGGAATCCTAAAAGGCTGTGACTTGTTTAATGCCCCAGATGGGAGGCAGATATAGGTTGTACAATCTCTGAGAGTCTCTTCTCAGCTGAAAAAATCTCTCAACAGCCTTGAGAGAACCACAGTTTGTACTGAACTTAAACTCAGCAGAGCTTCCCCTCCTGATTTCAATGGTGTCTTTCTTTCAAGATTGCCATACAAAATCTAACCAGTAAAGGGCATCTTTACCACCTTTGTTATGGCAAGAACCCCTCCTCCCTTCCCCAGCTGAATGTGTCTACAAGTATAAATTCTAAGCCAAGACCAGAGTTTATACTTCCTCCCCCTCTAATTTCTGTCTGATTGATAGTTCCCTGATGTCATGGATGTTTGGTGAAGAAAATAATCTGATATACTGTGTGCCCTTCCACCCTGCTCTGAACAAAGTTGTCACAGGCTGGAAGCCACCAGCCAATACACCTGACATCCTGAGCTACTGGTGGGAGCCAGAAAACTCCAGTTTGACTTTCCAGTTCATACTTCCCAGCTGGAAGTCTGGCTACAGCTCATGATGTCTGCCTCAGGTTACTTTAGACACCTAACTTAGATGAGATTCAGAGGACCAAACTTAGAAGCCTTGTATTCCTGGATGGGAAGGAGAATTCCTAATGAAGGAACATTAGCAGTTGTGGGGATGGGGTTTCTCCAAAGCAGCTGCATTAGATCACTCACCGAGTCTAAGGTAGGTGGTACAAATACCCCATCACTCACCCTCTGTAACTGTGCCAGGCTCGTTTAGTCACATTCTGTAACAGAGCTCAGTCTAAACTTTTCTGTTTACACTGTCACTCAGTCCAGGAGCTGTGACATCCTCCTCAAAGCCACCAGGTTTTCAATACCTCTTCATACCCAGGCAGGGCAGAGCCTCCCTTGCAAAATATGAAATTATTTTCCCTCCCTCTGCCCGGTGATGCTCACAATGATTACCTCCACAAAGAAAGTAGCCTCTTCAAGGAATACAGCCTGGGCTTTGTAAGGAAAACTAAAGGGAAATTGCAACTGCATCTAGAGTAAAAATGAAGGAAGATGGAAAGGAGAAGGGATGTGGGACTGAGCTGGACAGAAGGAGCAGGCTGAAGAGAGCAGTAATTCCTCCTGTTGCTTCAGTTCAGTTCCAAAGCATCAAATCCCTGAGGGATTCTGCTTTTCCTTCATGAAGGGAAGAGCAATCAACTGTCCCCTGCAGCTGGCCTAAGTACTGAAAGCATTACAGAAGAGCCGATTTTGTCTTATATTTTTTATTCAATTTTGCTGAAGAGGACTTTATATAATACAAGTGTCCTCTGTCACTGATGAAAAAGGGAAAGGCATATGATTGCAAAGGGTGCTTTTTGCAAACAGTCATTTTGCTGCTTTGCTGATTCTAAATGTTATGCACTCAGTGCACTTAAAGTGCATATTTTCCTTGCTTTCTTTAGCTAGGCCTTTCACAATTATCTTGCTGTCTTTTTCCCCTCTCTTTTCTTTCCATGGGGGGGGCTCAACTTCTCCTTTGGGGTCTGGGGGTGAATTATCTGCCAACAATAGCAATGCTGCCCCCCTCCCCACTTATCCACTCTGAGCACAGCCAGGTGGGTTTGGCTCCTGAGCAGCTGCTGATGGCAAAGTTTGTGTTTGTGCCTCCCTGCAGATGACTGCCTACGGGGCTTTCCTCCACAAGGGTTCCTTCTGCAGGAACTATTTCAACATCCTAGACCTGCTGGTGGTCAGCGTTTCTCTCATCTCCTTTGGCATCCAGTGAGTGAGCTATTTCCAGCTGCCTGGTTTTGTGGGGCTGGGAGGGGTGGCTCAGGCTCATTGTCTTATCTGGGTCTAGTGGTTATGGTTTACTAATTTTAATTTTTTTTTTCTTTTTTTTTTTTCTTATTGTTGTAAAATGGGATTAGGATGAAGATAAAATAGGTTTAATTTTAAATGGTTTAAATGTTAAATTTTTTTAAATGTTTTTTTTAATTTTTTTTAAATGTTAATGGTTAAATGGTTAAGTTTAAAGAGAAACTTTATTACTAGAAACTACAAGAAAAAAACTTAGCATAAAACTTTAGATTACTTTTATTTTAAAAAACTTTTTTTTCACACTGAAAACGTACAGAAGACAACTCACTTAGTTTATCACCTCTAAAATAGTCTTTTAGCCATTCACTTGGGAGAGGAGACTTCTTTTTTTGTTGTTGTTTATGGAGATTTTTCTACAAGAAACAGTTTTTTTGTGCCTTGATGTTACAGTGATCAGCTGCCCAGGAGACTGGAATTCTGATTCCATTCAGAATTGCTCCCTGGCCATGCCACTAAAAATTTCAGAAAACCTTCACAAACCACCACACTGGGCAGGATTTTTCTCATGAGCCTGTTGGGATATTCATGAGGTATTTTTCTCAGATGACTCAAGGCCATTAAAATTAATCCACGAGAGAGGAGGTAGTAACTGAGAAATGCTACACTGGTGACCTGGAGGGGGAATCTTTCAGAAAGAGCAAATGAGAACAAAAAATGAGTATATTGGGAATCATGACACTTAGCTTTGCTTTACTGTATCAGTTCAGTGACTTATGGTTCCCTCCAAGACTTTTCATGACCTCTTTGGAAAACGAGGTTGATAATGTTTTCCTGCTGCCTAAGATGTTGTGAATTTTAGTCAATGGAAGGCCATCAAGCATTTGAAGATTTTTGTGAGAATCTTCAGAGTAGTAGCAGCTGTTCTGTCATGCTGTTTTCCTTTGGTTCATCTGTTAATTTGCTTAATAATTTATAGATTTACTGGACTATGTGTCAGGTAGGAAGTTTCCTAATTAATTTCATGTCTGATAAGAAACAAGCTCCCAGTTGTTGCCATTATAGGTTAGCAGCTCACATGTGTTGCACACTAACTCAAGCAGGACAATTTGGGCTTTCAGTCAGGGTCTTAAGAATGGCACAGTGCTTGTTTTGACCTGCTGCTTCTTTCTAAAAGACTTAAGTCAGACTCTCGGTGTGTTAACATTAAAGCTGTTCCCAAAATCAGTAGGAGAACATGATGTCATTGAGCACGAGGAAGATGCTCAGTCAGGGTTTTAGTTTTGGAAGGTGCAGAGAGCTCTGCTGCAGAGGATAGCTGTGTTAAAAGTGAGCACATAAGTCATCCTAATCAATTCAGTGGGAGTTTCCACTCCTTAAATTTATGTACACACTTAAATGATCTGTGGGTTCAGGGCCCAAACACGCTGTAGGATCACACACACACATAGGATAATGCTGGAGTGTCCTGGACTTTACACTCTTCTATGAATATTTCAATGGAGCACTTCTTTGAGCCCCATCTGAAAATGCCCTGGTGATGACTACATCTTGGCACAATTTCTATATCATAGATATCTACACAATCTGTTTGCCCTGCTCTAAAAATACACCTTACCCATGTTGCATTCCCCTTTCATTAATACAGCAGAGATGATGAAAGCCAGAACAAGATGCCAGACCTCTGAAAATAACATCAGAAACTGGTTTCCTTACCCCTGAAGTGCCATGGCAAAGAGTTGACTAAATACCTTATGCAGCCTCAGGCTGTGCAGAATTTCAGAGATCTGTCCTTGCTGCACACTCCCCACGTTTCTGTCTCTCTCAAATCTTCCAACACTTTCTTCCAGGTCCAGTGCCATTAACGTGGTGAAGATCCTGCGTGTTCTGCGGGTCCTTAGACCACTGAGGGCCATCAACAGAGCCAAAGGACTAAAGGTTAGAAAAGCCCCAGTGCTTTCTATAAAACTAAATCCAGGTTATTTCAGGCTACAAGGGCTTTTGCAGTGGTTCAAGTAATGTTTCAGAAGAATCACAGTGTGGTTGAGGTTGGAAGGGACCCTCAAGCAGGTGCACTGAGAGCAGGTTGCCTAGGCTTTAGAGCACCTCCAAGGAGAGAAACTCCTCAGCCTCTCTGCCTGAGCTGTTCCAGTGCTCAGTCACCCTCACAGGAGAAATGTTTCTCAATGTTAGATAAACCTACTCTGTTTCAATTTGTGCCCGTTGTCTTGTCTGTGGGAACCACTGAAAAGAGCCTGGCTCTGCCTCCTCTGCATCCTCCCTTTAGCCATTAATACACAGTGACCAAATTCCCCTAATTCTCCTCTCAGATGAAGAGACCCAGCCCTCTCAGACTTTTCTCATGGCAGAGATGCTCCAAACCCTTAAGTCATCTTCGTGGCTCTTTGCTGGACTTCTTCCAGCATGCCCACGGTTCTCTTCTACTGAGGAACCAGAATTGGACAAAGTACAACAGGACAAAGTCTCACCAGTGCTGAGTAAAGGGGAGGAATCACCTCCTTCAGCTTGTTAAAAATCTTTGCCTAATGCAGCCCAGGATAGCACTTGCCATCTTTTTAGTGAAGGCTCATATTCAACTCTGTGTCCACCAGGATTGTCAGGTCCTTTTCTGATAATCTGCTTTTCAGCTGAATGGCGCCATCAGCACAGAGGTGAAATGATGTGGTTTTCTAGGGTTACAGATGGGCCCACAACCCTAAACATAACCTTTCTGTATTAGATAAACTCTTTCCTATGTGCTGGTGGGTTTTAAGTGGGTGCCTAACTCTGAGGGAAGTTTCAGAGAGCTGAGTTCTGCTCTTTTCCTAACCCTTTCTGCCTGCTTTTAAAAGTACAGCAAGAAATGAAACAAGTTGGTCCCCTTTCCCAAAACACTGGGTAATGGGTATTGGTTAAATAATTGTTTCTTATTACTTGTATTTTTATTCTTGGGCTTCTCCCTGAGCCAGAACAGTTGAGAGCAATCCCACAAGTGACTTTTGTTCCTCCCTTCCATTTGCAGCACGTGGTCCAGTGTGTGTTTGTCGCCATCAGAACCATTGGGAACATTGTGATTGTCACCACTTTGCTGCAGTTCATGTTTGCCTGCATTGGAGTTCAGCTGTTTAAGGTAAAACCATCAGACCCATTCATCCATCCATTACATCGAGCTGTGTTAAGGGATGGGAAGAAAAATAGCATGAAAAGCCTGGGGAAGGGAAAATGGGGTTTTTTTTGTGTGGAAGGCAAGATATTTGAGGCACTGCGAGTGTTATCAGGGCTTCTGCTACCAGCAGTTCAAAACTGAACCAGGCAGAAATGCAGAGATCTTGCCCATCATCTGTGATCAGAAGAAATGATCAGCAGTATTACTCTTCCCTGAACAGGTTTACATTGGCATGACATGCTCCCAGGAAGGTGAAGGGGTCTGTTAAAGGATCCTTGCAGAGTCTCTGCCTCCCCTCTTGCAGAGGAAGGGGCACACCAGATAACCATGGGGGGGTTGTTCATTCGCTTCTTTTTATGTCTGCTTTTATCTCCTTGCCTTTCACCACCCTCCTGACAACAAGTGTTCAGGACATACACATAAAAGTCCCATACAAGCAGAAGCTTCATTCCTCTTTCTTCCCTCCCAAGGGCAAGCTGTACAGCTGCACTGACAGCTCCAAGCAGACAGAAGCAGAATGCAGGTGGGTCTGAGCTTTCCCAATCCCTCCCCTTCCCTGGCTGCCCACCCACAGCGCCTTGTGCTGGCAGTGCAGCCCTGCCACCTTCTGTTTTGTCTCCACTCTCCACCCACAGAGGGTACTACATCACCTACAAGGATGGGGAGGTCAGCCAGCCCATGATACAGCCCCGGAGCTGGGAGAACAGCAAGTTTGACTTTGACAATGTCCTGACTGCCATGATGGCCCTCTTCACCGTCTCCACCTTTGAGGGCTGGCCAGAGTGAGTGTTTCTGGGACCAGTGCAACACTAGCAATGTCCTCATTCATTTCAAAAGAGAAAATTCAAAGGCAGAGCACAGTCTTTCCCTTTCCAAGTATTTAAATAAGTCTGCAGCTTTAAATGTAGCAATAATAGCACTGTGGTGTTATGTACTTTGTAAATTCCTCAGGGCCTGCAGGAATTTCTGTTAGTCTACTTGTAAACAGTGCAAAGCACATCTCTAGTTCTTAAAAGACTATTTCCACTAGTAGCAGTATTTGTTACAATTATGATGTGTATAAATGAATGCAAAATGCATATCAAGTCCTTTCCAGAATTGCCAGGTTTCAGGTTTCCCCATGGAGTCCCCATGTATGAAACACAGCAGTGCTGCCTCTGCAGTACTGGCAGACACGGGGTGTCTTTCCAGACCCTGCTGCTGTGCCCCAGGAGATTCTGGAGACTCCCCCAGAGTCACTCAGGGTGACGTGGACATGCAGGATATCATGAGCTGACCCTGACCTGTGTCACCAGGTGACAGCAGCAGCAGTGGCATCATGTAATACAGAATTCATACTTTTAATACAATGGTTTTGAAATTAAATATGAAAACTAAATTTGAGCCTTAAGAATCGAGCTTATAGAGAAATACTGTTCTTTCCAGAATATATAAAGGAAATTTTGGTTTGGATTAAATTTTACGGTTTAAATGATGTCACCTGGTGTAAGAGCTGTTGACTCCTGGGATCTCCTTTTCTCATAAAACTGAGTTTGCAACAACTCTACTGGGACTCTCCTGTCCTTTGTTAACTGAAGAGCATGATTTTGTCCAGCTATGAAGACATTTCACACCTGAACAAGTTCAAATGTGTAGAATTAGTAAGAGACAGATCTCTTTGGCAAGAGTTTGCACTCAGATGAGCACAAGCCTGCACATCTCTGAGTGAATTGATTTTGATAAAAGTAGAAGAAAATCACAAAGTTAAACTTTATAGCACCTATAATCACCTATAAGGCCTCAAGGCAGTTGCAGATTTTCTCTGCATTTGGCTCCTGTTTGCTTTCAGGTTGCTGTATAGGTCCATTGATTCCCACATGGAGGATGTGGGACCCATCTATAATCACAGGGTTGAGATCTCCATCTTCTTTATTATCTACATCATCATCATTGCTTTCTTCATGATGAACATCTTCGTTGGTTTCGTCATCGTCACATTTCAGGAACAAGGAGAACAAGAGTACAAGAACTGTGAGCTGGACAAAAACCAGGTAATTGCAACAACTTGCTGTCAATAAAGGTAGAAAATGCATTGAGAATAAGTTTTTAATAGATAAATGCATACAGAGAGGAAAATGTTAAGCTTGCCAAAAAGATAAAACAGTAAGCTGGCTTTGCTGACATCTTTTAGGAGTCAGGTAGAAAAAAAGTCTTGCTGCAAGATTTGCTCAAGGGACAACAATTACTTAAAAATGTTTGCTGTACCATTTGTTTCACTGAGATTAGATGAGCACAACAGCAATGTCTGGCCAAAGTAATTGCATGTAGAACTCTTTAACAGGTAGAACGTGCAGATTCACATCATGACCTAATAGAAATTCTTTTACAAAGCTTTTTCATTTCAGTAAAAAAATCTTGAAACGTGTCATATTCTTATTACATTTGAAGGTAGCTGACCACCCTGATATTTTGGGGTTGAGTTTTAAATGTACCCTGCCTCTCCCACAGCGCCAGTGTGTAGAGTATGCCCTGAAAGCCCGGCCCTTGAGGAGATACATCCCCAAAAACCAGTACCAGTACAAAGTTTGGTATGTGGTCAACTCCACCTACTTTGAATACCTGATGTTCGTTCTGATCCTGCTGAACACCATCTGCCTGGCCATGCAAGTAAGTCAGCGTGCAGAAAACCTCCAGGGGACAAAGTAGTAGACTTTGTTGGGGGAAATGCAAAAATGGCTGAGGTTGAGACCTACTTTCACCTTCACAAGGTGTCAAGGGAAAGGGAAAAGCATGTTAAAAAAAACATTGTACTGTGCTCACTTCTGATGAGATGTAGTTGAAATGAGGAGTCTAACTCTGGCACATTCAACAATTCTTTTTTTACTCCTTAAAAACAAACAAATTTCACATTTCTAAATAGAGTCCTGCAAGTACTAGAGCCTTCCAAGAAAAATGTTGAAAATGCCTCAACACTGTATTTTTCTCAGCCCTGCATTCAGCTGCAGCTGAATTGTTTTAACTGAAGCTGGTTTGAATAAATCACCCTGTGCCAATACAGAACATGAAAATCCATCCCAGCTGTTTGAAGTTTGTTAAAGTTAAGCAGCTACAAATGGGGTCTTGTAACATGAACTGGAAGGTGACCTTAGAATAAGGCAGTGCAACCAGTTAAGTATCATGATCTGGAAATAGGGGTATGAAAAGTGAGGTGGCAACACTTGCAGAAGACACTGCTTGAATTAATCAATAGAAGATGGAGAGTAACTTCATAAGATCTTAATAAAGTTAAGTGAATGAGCAGCATGATTGCAAATTTAATTCGGAGTTGACAAATGCAAGAGAGTGCATATTGGAAAGATATGATTTGAGCTGCTCATGTACTTTGCAGAATCCTGAATTTAGTGTAATTGCTTGGGGAATGGCTTGGTATCATTACAGACAGCTCAGTGAAACTCCTGCTCACTGTGCAAACAAACAAACAAAAAAGTAATCCAAGTCTAAGGGAAGGTTGAGATAAAAAACACAATTGGAGATTGTGTTGTAACATCGTGCTAATTTATAATGAGCCCTGAATTAGAATGATAAGTATAATTTTGGTAGCCACTCCTCAAAAAGATTCTTCTAAAAAGAGGAGATCATGAGCCAGGTGGCAAAAATGGATAGAGGCATGGGAGTGCTTATGATTGAAGGGAAACGGGAATTCTTAAATGAAAAAATTAAACATGCTGGGGTCTTCCTTGGCATGAAGGGAGACTGGGAGGGGTCCTGTGTGTTCCTGGCTGCTGGCATGTCCTCTCCTCACACTCCTGCTGGGACGCTGTTTTTCAGCACTATGGTCAGAGCTGCATGTTCAAGGAAGCCATGAATATCCTCAACATGCTCTTCACTGGCCTCTTCACTGTGGAGATGGTCCTGAAATTAATTGCCTTCAAACCCAAGGTAGGTGCTCTAGGAGTAGATTTCCCTGGCCTCTGTGTGTGTGTGCATGTGTGCGGGGCAGCTGTGAGGAGAAGGAGGAGGTGAAACTTTCTATTTCATCTATTACCCCACCAAGAACTGAGCTGGACAGTTGCTCTCTGGATTGGAGTCTCATTTATATATTTAATAACTTTTTTTGCTGGAGAGTAGACAAAAAAAAAAAAAAAAAAAAAAAAAAGTGAAAAAAGCAACACTGCTAATAGAGACGGTTCCTAGTTTTCATTAAGTTATCACAGTGACACTCTGCTAAGGCTATAGCTTGTCTTCCATTCTGAATGTTATTCTAATGCTCTCTCTCTGACTTTCCTTATATAATTTATAAACAGCATCTCATGATTAGTCTCCTGACCCAAGTGAAGTTAATCAAGCATGACTCATTTTGAGTTATGAGCCTTGGAAAAAAATGTTTCTTCTGGGAGGGCTACATTTCAGTGATGGTTTGGATTGCTCTAGTTTTGAATTTAAGACATCATTGATAATATTCAGTACCCCAGCAGGTCCTATCTTAAAGTATTGTCCTGTGCTTTGGGCCATCATATTATGCCAGTGTAGCTGCACTATGGGGCATGATTATAACCTTCAAGCTCTTCTATTTAAGTTCTCACAGTTGCTGTAGGACAAGGACAAAGATCCTGACCTCACAGAATTACCCAAGACTTTGTTCTGTGGGGTTTAAATTCAGTTATGTGTCATAAAAAGTTGAATCCAGATACCTAAATATAGGTCCCCCATGTCATTTCATATCTTCAGTGGTACCTTGACACATGGGCTTGTGTCTTGAAGGATGCTTTGAAACGTTGTGGAGATGGTCAAGATGTTCTCTGAAGCATCAGTTATGGCATTGATAAAAATGAGACATTTTATGTCTGGCAGTCATTCTTGTCCTTCATTTTAAGTTAGGGGATCACTGAATTTAGCTCCTCCCAGGTGTAATCTAACATCTTCTTCATCCTCACTTCAGAAACTTTGCTCTCCATTTCTACTGAATTTGGCCTTATTTTTTTGTTTTCAACTCCATGTTGACTTTACTCCCATCCAGCTTCTCTCTTTCTTCCACACTTTCTAGGACTTTTTCTTGTAATAGTCACAATTTTATTTTTCACCCAAGCCAAATATCACTGTCCTATCTTGGATGTAGTTCTCTTGGAAGTTAGGAGCATCCTGGCAGTCTTGCTGAAGACTGGGTTTTGGAGGTTTATTGTGAGATCTCAAACACTGTCTTGGAAAATTCAAAAGCATCATTATCTGTTTCAGCAGGGATTTTAATTTTCAGGAGAGATCTACCTTTCATTTTTGAGACTTCACCATTTCTGTTAGCAAGCAAATTTTCTGTCACTTCATAGAAGTTTTATCTGCACACCCTGTACCTAGAAGTGCATCTCACAGGCTTTATAATGTTCTGATTTTGCAGTTCTGCTTTACAGGAGATTCTTAACTTTTCAAGAAGATGAGAATCTCAGTGGAATTTGGTTTAGAAGATTTAGGGGAGAAATTCAACCAAAGCAAATACTGATTTTTGTACAAGGAAGGCTTTACCTGACATGGTTGCTTCTAACAGTAAGAAAATGGCATTGATGACATTGGAAGTCCTTTCTGCTTCCTGTGGTTTACTTTCCTCTGTCCAATCTTCTTTTCAAGTTTTACTGCACAAAAAGTATTTAAAAAATCAGCTGAGGGTAAGCATGTATCTCTGGATGACAAAATATTGAAACAGACTTCCTAAAGTAATTGTGGAATCTCTATAGTTTGAGGATTTCAAATTAAGTTGAGGGAATCTTTAATTCAAGACAGCTTAGGAATCTATGATCTGTCCTGAGGCAGGCAAATGGAATAGACCACAAGGCCCCTCTCTAACCAATTTTTCATGATTCTGTAATTTCCAAACTAAATCCCCAGCTACTACACTATAGTAAAAGTAGAGTAAAATATAAAGTTTCTTATTACGAGAATAATAGAGTTTTAACAAAGTATTTTGAGCTAGGACTCAAACAACCACCTCAGGTGAAAGAATAGCCAACACTAACAATGAATGTTTCAAATCCTGGTCTGGCCTACATGCCAAAAATGGTACTAACTCATGCCTCTATTTTAATTAAATATCTTAATGAAAAAAAACCCAACGTTTTAAAAATGGAAGCAAAGGATTACAGGGAAGAAAAGCAGGACTGACCTTGTGAAAACAGCTAACAGAGCAAAAAGACTTCTCTCCTGCAGCATATTCACACTGAATTATGTTAAGCACCAGTTCAGTGACTCTGGTTTGGAAACACCAAATTCCTTGTGTAACTTGTCATTGTTGTGTACGAGGATTTGGCTGCAGCCTTCATTCCCTGCTCTCCAGAGAAGGAGAACTCTTTCTCCCAGATGACCCCTGGGACTGATGTGGACCAGCACTGGGGAGCACCATCTGCTTCTCTTCAGGTTGCACACCAGCACTGAAGATGAACTTGCCAAGAATATTTTCTGAAGTGGGAGTTTCCAGCATGGAGAAAGTAGTTACCTCAACCTTCTGCTTGGCTAGACCTGGTGGCCAAACTGCATCTTCAGATGGAAGTTGTCCCCTGGAACACCAGCTGGGAAAGTCCAAAAGCATTTCTTTGTCACCTGGGAGAACATCACTACCTGTCCCCTCTAACCAACCAAGTCCCCCCAACAAAAAAATGAGATGCTGAGTGTTATTAGTGTTTCCCAAATGGAAAATGGCAAGATTAAATGCTCATCTCTGCTGCAGACAGATTTGTCTATCATTTCCTGAGCAATAAAACACAAACCAGCCTTTGTTTAAGCTGCTTTGTCTCATTTTGAATTTGTGCCCAAACATCACTCTTTTCTGTCTGAAGAATACCCTAAAATAAAAGAGCTGTAAACTTTATGACTGACAACAAGAAAGGAGGAAACTTGTTTAGCTGAAGGTGTTGTGTTCTTATGACAAGCCCCAGGAGAATGTGGCAGAACAGAACTGAGCCCAGAATTGAAGCTGGCAACGTTCAGTCTGTTTTCTCCTTTTTTTGGGGGTGCTTAACCCAGTCGTGGATGCTGGAGCTTGATTTTCAACTGCAGCAAGACAAGCAGGAACTGAGTTGTGACTCTGAATCAGCCACCACAGAGCTCTCCCTTGCACAGTCACTTCCTGAAGCACCTTGCAATGAAGAATCTGCAGCAGCAACAACAGAGGGATGAGGCTTTCTCCATCTGCACAAGGTGGAACAAGGCTGCTGTTGATTCATACCTTCACCAGGGAGACCTGGAAAGGGAACTGGGACACATGCCTGAGGTATTGGGAGCTGCCATTGCACTCCCTTCTCACAAAAGTCACCACGGGATGTGCCCATGTGGAACAGCTTTAGGGGAAACCCAATATACAGAGTTCCTGCTGCTGCCCACAGTGTGGAGTCCACTATTACAGAGGCACAGATTCAATTGGAAATGGGTTGGAAAATCATCAAGATCATTCAAGATCATCAAGTCCAAACGTTAACCTACCATTGCCAAGGTCCACTAAACAAAAATGCACACCAGTGCTACCTGTATAACCTGCATAACGACAGAAAAGGTGGCAGCCTGAATGAATAGACTTTTTTACTGCATCCTTTTTTTATTTCAACACTGGCATTCTGTGAGAGGTCCTCCTGACTTGCTGCTCCTGATACTGGAGGTGAAAAAAGCAAACACAGTCAGTTGCAGAGATAAGGAGCAGGATCACACATGTGCCTGTTGACAAAGAACCAGCGTGGATAAGCCAGCCCTGCCCCTAGCTCTTGTGGTGGGAGCAAGGCTTTACTTATTGAAAGGCCAGCTGTAGGAATAGGGAGCCAAGTCCCAGTCAGGGCTCGTCTGCTAACACTTACAGAAAATATGTGAAGACAAGGGCTTTCCTAACTAAACATACTGTTACTGCTGAGACTGGTTGCTCTGGTCAGCAGGTCCCTTTGAAACTTGTCCTTTGAGCTGGCCATCCCCTGTGAGCAGGGTTTTGGTTTGTTTGGTCTCCTGGGTGGCCAAGAGGAGAGGGGTACATCAGCTGGAGCAGCTGCTGCTGTGGCACAGGCAGTGCATGCCAGGCTGGGACAAGGCTTCCAGAGCCCTGTGGGTCTGTGTGACACTTCTGCTGCTGCTGGGGGTCAGTTACCCCATTTCTTTGCAGGATTAATCTAAGCACTGTGTCAGACAGCTCATCCGTGTCTCCATCCATGTCAGGAGGGTGTGCTAACAGTGAGCTGGAGAGATTTGGGATGATTAGGGCTGCTGATAAAGAAAACAGCCACTACATGCCCTGCATCTCCTTACAGAGTATTAATATGCTGCTCTGAAGCAAAACTCCCAAATGGACCTCACTGTTTGTCTTGGCTGATGCTCATAAACTGATTCAAGACTAGTTACTTCAAAAAGACAGACAGACTAAAAGTAATGCTGGTGAGCCAAGGCCTTTTGCTGCTTTGTTTTTCTAATTTTATAAATTCTCCAGCCAGTCTGCTGAGCTTTTTTCCAATTCCTGCATGGAGAAACTGCTGCTGCTGCTGCTTCAGGCTTTTTCCAGAGAAAACTACTAAAGAGAATGAGGTGCTGTGCTGTCTGTGGTGCTCACAGCTACCACTCTTCCAGCTTCTTAAAGAAGAAATCCCCACAAGAACCAGTCCATGGAGGGCCAGCTGCTCTACAAAACCTGCCTGGGGTTTATCTTTTCAAGTTAAAGACAGTGACTTAAAATGCCTATTCGTATGAAGCTTCACCATCTGTCAATGTACATGCTAATGTGAGGATGGATATTCCTCCAGGAATTTCAGATCTTTCCAGCTCCTGGAACGGGCTGTTTTCCTGATGAGCCACATCTACTTTTTCTTTCAGGAAACACTTCATCTCTCCCCTTATTAGCTAGGGCAGGACCACTAATCCAAGAGCTATGAATTTTCTCCTGCTGTGCCTGTCATCACAAACTAGGGAAGACATAACCATGGAACTAC